CGCTGCTGGTTTTTATTGTCACATCATTTGCAACACTTCTTTTGTTATAGGTATTATTAAACTGGTAACTAATTTCGTTATTGAATAAAATGGAGTGAAAAAAGATAAAATATAATATTTACATTAGAAACTTAAAAAAAACCCCGAACATTATGTTATCGTCATAATTGACATGTACAGGGATGCGAGGTCAATGGTACGGACAGTAGTGGGTCAGACAAAACCAATAGCAGTTGCAGAAGGTCTGCATCAAGGCTCAGTACTGAGTCCCTTTCTGTTCGGCATGGTTATAGACTCACTCACTGAGGTGGCGCAGTCCTCAGCCTCGTGGACTTTCATCTATGCAGACGACGTTGCTATCTGCGCCGAGAGCCGCACAGAGCTACGAGAGGCACTCCTGTTGTGGAAACAGCAGTTACAGGCCGGTGGCCTAATATTGAGTGTTGCGAAGACACATTATATGTCTTTTAATGACCCAGATCCAGGTGACAACAGCCCGATTTCCATTGACGGTCAACTTGTAAACATGTGCGATCAATACAAGTATCTGGGTACTATGATGCACAGATCTGGAAATTTAAAATGCAACATTCAACACCGAATAGCCGCAGCGTGGCTAAAATGGCGAGAAGTAAGTGGTCTCACCTGCGATAGGAGGATGCCCGTTAAGCTCAAGGGTATGATTTATAAGACCATAATAAGGCCTGTTCTTATGTATGGCAGCGAAACATGGGCGGCAACCAAAAGGAACGTACATACCATTCAAGTTGCTGAAATAAAAATGCTGAGGTGGATGTGCGGCGTGACTAGGCTCGATAAAATTCGCAACGAATACGTGCGTGGAAGTCTAGGTGTACGGGACATCGCCGACAAGATGCAGGAGAGTAGGCTGAGATGGTATGGTCACGTGAAAAGGAAGCCACCTGACTACGTCGGAAATTTGGCGCTACTGCTCGACCTCCCCGGTCGGAGACCTAGAAGCAGACCCAAGACAAGGTGGAGGGACGTAGTGCTGAAGGACAAGAGAGAATGCAATGTTGCTGACGAGGATGTCGAAGACAGAGCGAAGTGGAGGAGTAAAGTCAGGAAAGCTGACCCCACCACCATGTGGAGAGGTGGTGTGAGAGAAAGAGAAACTTTAAAAAAAACACGTTGAAGATGTCTATGGGCTCCGGTAACAGCTTAACACCAGGTGGGCTGTGAGCTCGTCCACCCATCTAAGCAATAAAAAAATAAAAAAACTGATTATATTGCAATTTGAAAATTGATGGTAAATAAATCATCATTCTCCTGCCCTTCTCCCTGTCACCTGGGGTCGGCGCAACATGTTTTCTCCTTCCCTACTCCTCTATCATATACCATTACTTCGCTCACTACCCCCTTACACATTGTCATATCGTATTTCAGGCAATCCATCCATTTTTTCTTAGGTCTACCTCTTCCTCTATATCCTTCCACATTCATAATTAACACTCTCTTACCAACCTCATTTTCATTTCGTCTCATCACATTTCCGTACCATCCCAAACGGGCACTTCTCAGCATCTCCCATCCCAAATGCGTACTTCTCGACTTCTGTGCGTGTGGTGGGGGCCTAAGAAAACCCCTTACCCAAACTTAGCTCATTGATATCGTAGACGGCGACTAAGGGCCAAAGCCTGACTAAAGCCAATACAACCCAGGTCTAAGGCCAACAAAAGCATTCCCAAAGAGGGTTGATGTCAGACAGGCAAAAAAATTGGTCATAAAAAAATTGCCAAAAGTTAAGAGCAATATGAAAAATTGTTAGTAAATAAATATACATATAAAACTATATCACATAGTTTATGTAGATTTATTTTGTTTATAACGTTACGTTATCTTGATATATTCATGTCATTAGCAAAAAGAACCGCCAATCCTTGACTTACTTTAGTTTAGATGGATGTTTGTGGACCGATAAAGAATTTAAACACGAAATATCGACATGGTAACGATAAATTTTGATAAAAATTTTTTTAATAGAAACACTGTATTGTGTTTAAGATAGCAAAAAAAATTATATTGTACATACAACTAACAAGATCAAGGAGAAAATAGGGGATGAAACAAAAACAAAGAAGAAAATGGATTTGGAAACTCTCGGTCTGCGGAGGGACTTTGTTTCTCTCTGTATTTTGTACCGTATGTTCCACGGGGAATGTGCTCTGAGGAATTGCTTGAGATGATTCCATCATTTCGTTTTTACCTGGAGCCACTACGTTCATCCACAGTGCGTTTCCAGAGATCTTTTTTGCCACGTACCATCCGGCTTTGGAATGAGCTCCCCTCCACGATGTTTTCTGAACGCTATGGCATATCCTTCTTCAAACGAGGCTTGTGGAGAGTACTTAACGGTAGGCAGCGGCCCCTGTCATTGCTGAAGTCCATGGGCGACCGTAACCATTAGGTGGGCCGTATGCTCGTCTGCCTAGAAGGTCAAAAAAAATGCGAATAGGTTTGAAAATGTTGCATTTCTTATTTTTAAAATGTGATTATTACGGGACTCCAGAAAGAAAATTTCAACATCAAATTCTCCCTTTTTTCTCTACCTAATCGTTGGTAGCGTAAAGGCCTATTCCAACTACGCAGGAATTAGTAGGCGAGCTCTCTCAACCTGAGAGAACTTACCAACAGTTTACTAGCTTAATTATAGCCCTAGCAAGAGCAGTGCTTCGCTGAATCTACCGCCAGATCAGAATCGCGACCCACTGAGCAGATCTTGCGAGAAACTCACTGGGTAGATTCTCACCGATACCCTTTAAAGACAAGAAAAATAAAGCATGACCAGTCTTTTACGATTTAAGCAGTTAATTTTTAAATTACTGGTGGTAGAGCGTCTTGTCAGCCCGTACGGGTAGGCACCCTGTCTATTTCTGCCGTGAAGCAATAATGCGTTGGGGCGAAAACTGGGTGGGTGGGTGGCGGGACTTATGTTGTTGTTGTCTGTCTGTGGCTTTCGGTAACCGCTACACACATGTTGGGCCGTGAGCTCGTCCACCCATCTAAGCAATAAAAAAAGAACGCTAAGTGCCCTTAGGGTTTTTAATGTATAGAATATCAGTCAAACACCCAAGTTGTCAATGGTAAAAATTAAAACAGGCTGGCAAAAACAAGCCTACGAATGTAATCAACTTAATAAAATTACAGCTTAATTTGATTTTGGAAAAAAAAAGGCCAAAGAATCTTTTTTCAGTTTGACCTTGTATCGCATTTTAGTATTTACTACTATGTACTACTATCAGCCCATTGATGTTAAAATGCTGTAATAAACCACTTTCTCTTCATGAGCCGCAGGCTTGATGAAAATAAACGCGTTGAGGTTCGACTCATCATCATCATCATTTCAGCCTATCGCCGTCCACTGCTGAACATAGGCCTCTCCAATAGATTTCCAGTGCGACCGGTCCATTGCCACCTGCATCCAACGAGACCCAGCGCTTTTTACTAGGTCTATTATATAGATATATTATATAGGTATATTTGGTATATGGTATATTATATAGGTATTATATTATATAGGTATATGAGGTTCGACTATTATTCGCAAACTCCAGTTTGTGTTTTACGTGTGATTAGTCATTGCTGATTCATATGACAGATCAAGCCGACTTTACCGACTCCAAAAAACAGGTATTTCTCGATTCGAATGTAGTAGGCCATTTCCGGATTTCNTATATTATATAGGTATATTTGGTATATGGTATATTATATAGGTATTATATTATATAGGTATATGAGGTTCGACTATTATTCGCAAACTCCAGTTTGTGTTTTACGTGTGATTAGTCATTGCTGATTCATATGACAGATCAAGCCGACTTTACCGACTCCAAAAAACAGGTATTTCTCGATTCGAATGTAGTAGGCCATTTCCGGATTTCTCGAACATCCTTGACGGTACTTTTAATTTAGTAAAATTATTTAATAAATGAAAAATGTCTGTACAACTGAACACATTACTGTTTCATGGCAGAAATAGGCAAGAAGGTAGTGGTACCTAAAAGTTCGGGCTTACGCTATGCTCTAACTGCTACACTAGGTGAGAATTATGTTGTTTGTTTTTAGTAGCTTCGTGTGTTCATATAATTAATAATTCTATTAATGTTATTCGATTGGGTCATTGAGTGAATAGATAATAATTTTATGAATTCAATTTACCGGAACTATGTACAATTTTACTGTTGTTTTGGTAATTTTAGTTACTATTTTCTGAACACGCAATGTAACGAAAAGACTTACGCGAGCGGAGTTTCCGCAAAAAGTAAAAATAGTGCGTCTGTTATTTTAATTAATTGAGCACAATGCAAAAAATAACAGCTTGTTCTGAAAACCAATCGAAAAATCACGTGATCATTACCCTCTTGATAACATAATTGTTTAGATCTATGCTTATGTCCTCCTGCTCTATGTATGTACTCTACATTCAAATTAATCTTCATCAAAATTATCTAAATCCATGCACAGGTTGATTCACGAATAATATTATTAAATAATATTATTAAGTACTTGTCAAATTTATTATTGAATGATTTTTTTATGTGAACTGCTTAAATGATTGCTAATTTTGTTTTTAATATCTAAAGGCCAAGCTTATTGTTAAACTGGTGAAACTGTCAAGGTCGTCATGTACTTTTTATAAACGACGTGCTCAAGGCCAGTCCAAATTATTTGCGCATGCTATGTACTGCCATCTAACAATTCTTTAAAAAGTGCAAAAAAAATCGATGAAATTAATACCATACACTGACACTAGATGTCACTAAAATGCTCTCGTTTGCAGATTTTCTATTTAGTTTTAATTCGACATTATTCGTTTTTTTATTAATTATTTAATGTTACACCTAGGTACTGAAGCAAATAGTTTTAAATTTAAATAAATATAAAAATAAAATAAAAAATGCATCCGTCGCTACGGCTGTATAATCTATGGCTGTATAGTCTAGCTACTGTTGCTTGACGATGTGTACGAATTTCCAGTAAAAAAAGAGAAGTGCTGAGAAACCAGAAATGGCGTCGCAAGTTGTTTTTTATTCGCATTGAATGTTTCTAATCGTCCATTGTGATTTTGAATCTTCTATTCGTTTTCGAGATATAGCAAACAAGTAGCGTCCATGTTTAATTAACTGGAAGTGATCGTTTTATCGTGAAACTGTTGTCGCCGCCACAATGGCGTCATCGAACGAAGCAAGATTGTCCCACGTAAAAGCTGGTGAAAATCTTGAACTCGGCGGTGATTATCGCAAAGCGAACGGCGAAAGTTGTGCCGGTGAGGCTTCTAAGCGGCGTCGCATCTCGCATGACACTAAAAAACCTTCGAGGCCGGGATGCGATCCAAGTGTGTCAACCAAACATATCCATACATCTATCGAATCCAAAGGTATTTTACTTTTATATATATAATTGCAGCACAATTTGAAGCTTAACATTGATGGCTAAAGGTCCATTTAAATCAATATCATTCATTAACTCGCTATAAATTTTGGTGGGAAAAGTAGTAACCTATTATTTTGTTTGTTACATCATTTGAGGTCAAAAATGTTTATAAACAGTCATTATGCGTTTTTTCATGAAATTCATAGGGTAAACGTTCTTTTACAATTTCAACTAAGGTTTTGTGCGCTGNTGAAGCTTAACATTGATGGCTAAAGGTCCATTTAAATCAATATCATTCATTAACTCGCTATAAATTTTGGTGGGAAAAGTAGTAACCTATTATTTTGTTTGTTACATCATTTGAGGTCAAAAATGTTTATAAACAGTCATTATGCGTTTTTTCATGAAATTCATAGGGTAAACGTTCTTTTACAATTTCAACTAAGGTTTTGTGCGCCGTGAATGGCTAGTTCTAAGAATTTCTGAAATCATTGCATCATCGACCTTGCTGATGGTTGAATACTACTTTCTACTTGTTGCATTATTTGAAAAGAAGTAATATAAAATGGTGGTAGACATTTTATTGGTGGTAGGAAGTCTTGTAAGCTTAAATAGGTGTCACGATCCTGTCTATTTCTGTCACAAAACACTACTCTACTCCATTTAGATATGAAGGGTAGTACATCTTTTATATTTATTATACATTTGAATCTTCGACCACTTGTGACCGGATGAAAGGCGATTCTATGCAGCAGAGATGCGATTGTTGCGATGGATGTGTGGAGTAATGAGAATGGATAGAATACGGAATTAATATGTTAGAGGAAGTCTGAAAGTGGCACCTGTACCAGAGAAGCTGTGAAGTGCGCGTTTGGGATGGTATGGACATGTATGTGATGAGACGAAATGAAAATGAGGTTGGTAAGAAAATGTTAACTATGAATGTGGAAGGATATAGAGGAAGAGGTAGACCTAAGAAGAAATGGATGGATTGTGTGAAAGATGATATGGGTAAGACTGGATTGAATGAAGAAATGGTATATGATAGAAGAGGTTGAAACAAGAAAACATGTTGCGACGCCCCCAGGTAGCTGGGAGAAGGGTAGGATAATGATGATGATGATGATCTTCCTCCGCTTGTCTCAAGATGGGTGATGACATATACATTATGCTTACAAGCTCTAGTAACCACTTACACCAAGTGAACTGTGAGCTTATTTACTAATCTATACTGAAAGATTATTTACGGTTTGAGTAAAACTTTTTGAGAACCAAACAAAAAAAACTATGATTTTTTTTCCAATCCGAAGACATTTCCTCCACTTAGCATGGTTAGCACTTAGTATAGTTTTCTTAAGCAGATAATGATGAAAATGTTGTAAGATTTATTTCAAAGCAAATTGTTGTAAGAATGTGTTTAATTTTATTGATTTTGTTTCTAGTTATTTTTACAGTTACTTATAATCTGCACATTTAAAAGACTACAATACTAACATTAACCAATAATATTTTGAAAGTAAAAAAAATAACTTAAAAGAATTTAGTGTAGTTACAAATCTCAATGATAAGAAAATGTGAAAACCAATTTAGTATAAAGATCCACAAGCTTAATATCAGTGAGATTAAAATTATTTGAATGTTGCTTGCTCCAGAAGCTGCCTGCAAAAATTTATTGTAGATCACCAGTTCTGATCAATAATAATTCTATGATTGAATAGTCCATAGAGTCTGCAATTTCTGCAATTTAACTCTTCTAAAAATCCTCTACAGCATTTCTTGACATGTATTCAAAGCCTGGGCTTCCAGTGCTAAGGACTCACACAACATTTTCACACATTTTTTGCATATAATTAACCCTACACACAGAGAACAACAGTTGCCGTTGTGGACTATATTGCTATACTGGCGCAGAGCCAACCTCACAAAATTCAGATCTACTTCAAAGTGTAGAATAAAGTCCATTGCTACAAAGTCAGTCCATATAACATTCATTCATAGATAGGGTAACTACCCACCCATGAAGTTTATATTGGACCTGCTTTAATTATTGAAATTATAATATTCTTAGGCATATATTTAAATCGACAGATTCTGTAAGCGTATTAAAACCACTAGCTACTCACTAAGCTAACTAAGCTAACTACATACTTTCTATAAATCACAGAATCATCAAACCTACCTGGACTTAGAGCCACCAATCATCTTGAATCTGCACTCTGTGACTCAAACTTAATAAAAAATCAAAGAACACAGAGCTATATTCAGAAGCATATCATAAACTCACTCATATAATTCATAGATAACCCTTAAATTCCTAAAATTTTATATGCTTAACCCTCAACATTTTGTCATAGAAAACAAAACTAAGACACAAAATGTGCATTGCTGCCTGGAAATCCACCGAAACCAGTAGCAATGCCACTGATATTGCAAATCTTTAAACCCTTCTATAGGCTGAGGAAATTGGATTTTAATTTGGGGCAATTTATAATTTAATTATTTTTTTTGGATAATTTGGGATTTATTAGATGTACATAGCCTGGAGTATCTGCTCTAAGTGACGATTATACTGCTACAAATCTGTTCCAGGGCACTTGATGATATGAATAAAAAGAAAAATATGTTTCACTTTGATATATTTTTTTTATAATTCCGATGAACCTATCAAAAATAGAAGAGTAATGGCAGTTTCCCCTTTACAAAATTCAATTTTAAACAAATTTATTGTATCATCTATTTTTAGGTGTCTCGACAATTTTTGCATCCATTTTAAGAATTCCGAAAGAATTCCTACGTTGAAATAATACATTGAAATCAATTAGATTTTGAAATGATAAATTTTGTAATATTTAAATTACGATATATAAGATAAGCTAAGTGTAATTGAAAAGAACAACATGCTGTAGCTATTTCTGGACTTGCTAAGAAAGCATACTTTACAAATCTTTTTTTTGAGACGGAGGCAGAATATTCTTCGGACATCCAAACCGTTCTTTACACCAGATCTACGAAAACGATTCAACGTTAGCCATTTCGATCGACTGCGAGACAAAGCGCCAAGGCGGTGTCTTTATTGTCCCGGGATACTTCGCAGAATCTGAACCAGGAAATAACCACGTCATAATGCCAACGATCACTTATTAGTTTAAATTGTACGCAGTCTGCAGTTACATTTTTTTTGGGAAGGTAGGGTGGTCTGAAGGTCTTTCCAGCTTGATACGGACATGTGGGCGAACACAGGCTTAGCCAGGAGGGGTGGGATTAGCTAACAACTGCCCGAAGGAGACCTAATAGCTCAAGGGAAGCGGTTTCGTGAATGCATCTACAGGATAGGAGTCGCGACCGGCTGTGAAAATACGGTTAGATGTGTGGGTAGTACGCAGATTGAGTTAAAGCGCCGCGCGGTCTTTACTGTTTGTCCCAAATCTGTAAAGACAGGAGCCAGGAGTTTTCTGGAAACTGTTACACTGCGACAGATCAATGCAGTGAAAGTCAAGCTTTTCCTGACGTTCCACTGCTTTCTTAGTTACTTTCGCCTTCGGGTCCTCTGGGGCCTCCCGGCGCACGTCGCCTTGAAGGAGTCTGTGCTGTATCCGTGAAAGCATCAAAGACCTGTGGTTCAATATCTTTAAATTTTCAAAATCTAGAAAATAACGTTTTTTTTTTCGTGTATCTTTAATAGCATAACACTAATTAAATAACTACTTTCATTTAGTAGGCTAAGTTTTGTCTGAATAGTTAATTCAAAAACAGCATGCACTTGTGCGCATTATGTATTTGACTGTACACTCCATCTGTATTTTCAAAGCTTCGCTAGACAAAGAATTACTGCAATTCTGAATGTTAAGTTTTAATGTCAAACTAGCCTCATAAAATGTTTTTTAATTTTCGAGTCTTCCATCAGACATAATTATTTATTCACTGTTGAAATACGAACCTGACTTGGGCACTTATTAAATGTTGATTTCATATGCAAAGATAACACACGTATATCTAGTATATGTATACTAATGCAGACATAGGTAAGATAAGGATCACAAAAATAATAATAGCATAGCATTTTGTACTTACATATTTTCATTGTTGCTAATATACACATTTCAACTAAGCGAGAAAAAAAGTAAAAAAAAAAGATGAAAAAAAACTAAGCGCGAAATTAACATAGGCAACAGGTCATCATTAACTAAACCATATGAAAAGTAATTGTATGATTAGGTAATTAAATCAATCTTCCAAATTATTGGGATAGAATTGTGGTTTTTATTTGAAATCAAATAATAATATTTGATCATTTTAATTCTAATTTGAATGCATCATTTCATTTATGGCTGATTGCTGTGTTTGTTATCCTATGGTTATCGGCTGATATGAACCATTGCTCTCCTTAAAAAATCTATGTTAGCATGTCATTTATTTTGGCTGTGAATCGTCACACGTAATGAAATTGCATACCAATTTTGAAAGATAAGAACTGCCGAGTTCTGTGTTGTGTTTCTTCATATAATTTTATTTTAAATCAGTACTCTATAAACCCAAAAATTGTCACTATGCCACAAGTTATAGTCTTGCTGTATAACATAAATTCTTGTTGAGTAATATACATATTATATTATTATTTATTATATTTTCATAAATTATTTCAAAGTAATGCATATAATAACACTTTGACTACACTAAGTACACTAATAGTAGAATGTCTAAAATAAATTACAAAGTTAAATTACTTTACTATTTGTAAAATTTCCCTTTTTCAACAGGTAAAAAACGAAAACGTAGTCAGGATTCTTCAAAGGTGGTATCCTTGTGGGGTGATGATACAAAACCTGCAAAGTTGAGTAAGATATGGCCCGTTTTTGACTCAGGAGGGTATGGAGATGCAGCTGTGTTAACTCTTCATGTTATGAACAAAACACCAAATTTAATGAATCCTTTACTATATGACTCTCAAAGAGACGATTTTTGTCTAGCGGAATTGAATCAAGAACCATTAAAATCTGATTGGTTCAGAGGCCTTAATGCATCATGGAAACAGACTCAACTTACAAACAAAATAGCCAATAATGATGTAACGAAGAAAATCTTCTCATCAGTGTCCCGCCAGTTACGTATCATCAATACACATCTACAGCAATCAATGTTTAAATATAAATATCCACGGGTCACAAGATCCAATATTCTTCTAGACAATTCGACAGTTAGAAGGCCAGCCACACATTTCAGTCTTACATTAAGGGCAATAAGGTTCCAGGCAACACCAAGAAGAGAGTTACCATGTTATGGAAATCTTGAGTTACCATTAAAACTGAAACAAGAAGGTGGTATGTTACAAGTATATCCTGCCATCAGGAGTCTTAAGGATAATGAGGTTAAAGTAAACATTGAGAATGAACATGTCAAGATGGAGAAAGAAAAAGAGAGAGAAAAAGAACGAGAGAAAGATAAAGATAGAGACAGGTATATTTCAACATAACAATACTGCTTTTTTCTACTAATTTAAATAAACAACCCTTGTTTTAAATGACATTTCCTTAATCTCATAACAATATTTCATATATTCATAAACAGCTTCTAGCGTTTGGCATATATACAGGGTGTCCCAGAAAGAATGCATAATCCTGAAACATCTCATAGTAGAACTATTGAGGACACAAAATAAAAAATTTCAGGTAGTACCCAAATTAATTACCTATATAAAAATACTACATTTCATGATTAAAATTTAAGTTCAGATTAATTTTTACAAAAAGTTACAACAGGTATATCATATCATATGGTTTAGTGCATTCCCATTGGTATAGTCCATGTAGAATGTTATAACACCAAAATCCCTGTGGGTTTCATATGTTTGTAGCTGTTGCATATTACAGAAACGCGCAGTAGTCGGGAAAATAATGGTTTTTTTTTTAAATACCTAAGAAATACTTATTTTTATTTTTTTATTTTGTTTCCCCAATAGCTCTACTATGAGGTGTTTCAGGATTATTCATTCTTTCTGTGGACACCCTGTATATACCTATTGATCGGAAATGATGTCTGTTATCAGTTTTAGTAAAAAAAAGCAATAAAAGATATGTTAATAAAGTGCTATTACTTTCAGGTCATCGCGTCATTCATCGTGTCACCATTGTAGGCGAAGGTCTCGTGTGAAGCGCTGTTCAATCGGCGTTCAGTGCAGGCGTGATCGAGCCGCCCCCGTTTGTATTGGGGAAGGATGGGGAACTTTGATGGAGAACCCTGACATCAAGGGGCTTAAATATCACAGGTGAGATACATGGAAAATTGGTAGGGAAACCTATAATGTCATTTCTGTGAATGACACTTCTCTGAGAGGCCCACGAGTAGATATGAGGTGCCGATTGGTGATTGAAAACTGTAGACATTAACATGATCGTTGCCAGCCGTTTTGAGTCCTAAACTTTTAAACCGAATGTCATAACTGTCCTATGGGAGAAATAGGCAATACTTATAAACAATACCTGTACAATCTACCACTATATTTTTGTCACCAAAATGCGGACCTTTAAAAACAAGTAAAAGTATATTTTGTTACATATTTCTTTCTGGTCGTTCCCTCAATGCTGAGGATCGTGACTGTATGTCAATCTTCTCCACTCGGTCCGGTTCGACGCCATATGTACCGCGCCCCATATCTGGCCTCCAGTCACCTCCTTGAGTTGGTCCACCCATCTAGCTGGCGCTCTTCCTCTAGCGCGCTTCCCCTCCATTTGTCCGATAATGATGTGTTTCTCCAGGCTGTGCAATGAGGATCGCATTATGTGCCCAAAGAAACTCTGGATCCTTTCCTGGCACATAGTCATATACTTATAGTTTTATCAACCTGCTGCATTTGTATTTAATGTTTTAGACAGAAATGAATTTGGCCTGAAGATTAGAAAGATAGGCTTTTAGAAGTAAAAGCTGTCACTCATTCAAATTTTTTCTACAGGTTAATGCGAGTCGAAACCCACCCAAATGGTGGTGCCAGTGTAGTGTACCTTCACCAGCGAGATGTTGACATGCTGGGCGAACAACAACAGCAGTCTCTGGCCAAAGAGTTTCTAAAGGTAAAAAAAAATATGTTTAATTTAAATAACATTTGTTATCATTGAAATACCAATTTCAATTCAATTGTAGAAGTCGTCGTGACCTAACGGATAAGACGTCCGGTGCATTCGTGTTGAGCGATGCGCCGGTGTTCGAATCTCAGGCGGGTACCAATTTTTCTAATAAAATACGTACTCAACAAATGTTCACGATTGATTTCCACTATGAAGGATAACATCGTGTAATAAAAATGAAACCCGCAAAATTATAATTTGCGTAATTACTGGTGGTAGGACCTCTTGTGAGTCCGCGCGGATAGGTACCACCGCCCTGCCTATTTCTGCCGTGAAGCAGTAATGCGTTTCTGTTTGAAGGGCGGGGCAGCCGTTGTAAATATACAGATACCTTGGAACTTATATCTCAAGGTGGGTGGCGCATTTACGTTGTAGATGTCTATCGGCTCCGGTAACCACTTAACACCAGGTGGGATGTGAGCTCGTCCACCAATTTACGCAAAAAAAAATATAGAAAAAAATATAGGACTGATAAGTTATATTTATTATAAAAAAGAAATAAATTCTTATGTTAGCACATCAGAAAATTATTAGTTTATCATCTTTGTAACTGGTGTGAAAGTGTATTCATTTAATGTTTCATTTAAATAACATTTGTTATCATTGAAATACCAATTTCAATTCCATTTAAAAAAAAATAGTTTTTTTTTTCCCTACCTATGCTGATAGCCTTGAGAGGCTATTTCAGCTTTACCATAACACGTAGGTGAGCTCACGGGGCTCAAACCGGAGTGTTGCTAACACTGGCCCTAGCAAGAGCAGTGCTTCACAGAATCTACCATCGGATCGGAAACGCGACCCACTGAGAAGATCCGGCGAGAAACTCACTGGGCTGTGTCTATGGGTTAATTCGCTCGTCGAGCCCTTCGTCGCAAGCGACGGGTCGACGAGGACGGTGGAGATAGTGTGTAATGAGTGTCCAACGTGTCGACAGCTGGTGTTCTCGGAAGACAGTGAGGGCTGGGCCCGGTTCGTGTGCGGCGTGGTGCGCGGCGCGGCGGCTCCCTTCCCGTGCCTCCTCCAGCACCTCGCGCACAAGCACCCCACGCTGCCGGTCAAGGCCGGCGTGTTGGCCAGAGCATCGGACATCGAGACCACCACGCTCGCACGATACTATCAGCAGGTACACTACAGCATCTTTTTTTTTTTTTTTTCTTTTTTTTTTTTTTCCTGCCTAAGCTGAGAGCCTTGAGAGGCTATATCAGCGTAACCCTAATTTACCCGTCGAACCCTTCGTCGCAAGCGACGGGTTCGACGAGAACGGTGACCGGTGCTTGAAGTACCTAGAAGCACCGTTAGTGGATCGGGAGGATCCGAGATGACGTGTTTTGGGCGACGTCGACTGCTTTCCATTCTGTCCGCAGGATCGGGAATGTAGTTACCGGCGGCCACGATGAGAGGGTTCTCGTGTCGTGCCGCTTTATCGAAGTGGCGNTCGTCGCAAGCGACGGGTTCGACGAGAACGGTGACCGGTGCTTGAAGTACCTAGAAGCACCGTTAGTGGATCGGGAGGATCCGAGATGACGTGTTTTGGGCGACGTCGACTGCTTTCCATTCTGTCCGCAGGATCGGGAATGTAGTTACCGGCGGCCACGATGAGAGGGTTCTCGTGTCGTGCCGCTTTATCGAAGTGGCTTTTTTTATTACTTGTAAGTCACAATTTATCTGGTGCTAAGTGATTACCCAACATAGACCTCATCGTAAATGCCAACACGTACCGATATATAATTTTCATTTATTTTGTGAAATGACTATCTGTAGTCTACAAATCGGAATATAATATGACTGTTTCGAAGTATAAGTACATAGGGGCTACATAACTTACCTACTCATCCTACTTGTGCCCGCTTCCAGTATGCCCTAACGTGCCCAGAGTGTGGCGCCTTTTACTATTCAAGTTAAATATCCGTCTTGCCATACCAGCTCTTTCAGGAAGTAAATCAATTACTTGAGATCAAAAGAGTGCCAAGGTTTTTTAACTGATAGTCTGCAAATCCGTCGTACTTCATCAGCGACTATGTAATCTGCTATCATGCAAGCCTTTACACCGAACAGATAAAATTATTGAAAACCCTTATATAAAAATACATATTAATTATTACTAGTGGTCCTCTATCAGGTAGTCGAAATTCGACTATAATTGAAATTATAAGACACCAATATGGTTCTATTTTCAAAGACTATTCTATAATCGCAGATATCGCCAAGACTACACTTTAGAAAAATATTAATAAAAACAAACAATGTTTACATGGTGTGTGTAATGATTTTTTTTATCAATTTAATATATTTTTAATGCATAATTAAAAAAAATATTCTCTATAAGTGTGTGAAATTTCATACTCCTCTGTCCGCACAATTTTCGTAAATATAATAATATAGATTATACCACTAAGCTCACAATACTTATTTAACAATTTGATTGTGTATGATTTCAAGGAAATTGGGAATTTTAGCTATATTTACCTAAAATATTTCTTCATGCAGGTTCAACAAACATATGCAGCAGGCACTTTCCGTTGTGGTCCGTTACACCAAATATCTCTGGTAGGCACGGTACATGAGGAAGTTGGAGGCTATTTCCCCGACATGCTGGAGATGCTGGCTTCATGTCCATTTCTTAACATGGTAAGTACTTCATGATTGTTTTGCATCATGTTTCCCCTTCCAAGTATTCTTTCCATGATAGCCATTGGGCTCTTGACTATTTACCATCATCATTTCCAATTAATAAATAAATTTGACAAAGTTACAGAAGCTACATTCATATCAATGTTGACAGTTGGAACATTACTTCAGGTTATTTCACATATAAAATAATAGAAAAGCAATCTGCCTGTTTTTATATAACAATTACTTCTCAATGTATATTATTTTATTTGAGCAGGGTTTTTATAAAATTCNCAGATATCGCCAAGACTACACTTTAGAAAAATATTAATAAAAACAAACAATGTTTACATGGTGTGTGTAATGATTTTTTTTATCAATTTAATATATTTTTAATGCATAATTAAAAAAAATATTCTCTATAAGTGTGTGAAATTTCATACTCCTCTGTCCGCACAATTTTCGTAAATATAATAATATAGATTATACCACTAAGCTCACAATACTTATTTAACAATTTGATTGTGTATGATTTCAAGGAAATTGGGAATTTTAGCTATATTTACCTAAAATATTTCTTCATGCAGGTTCAACAAACATATGCAGCAGGCACTTTCCGTTGTGGTCCGTTACACCAAATATCTCTGGTAGGCACGGTACATGAGGAAGTTGGAGGCTATTTCCCCGACATGCTGGAGATGCTGGCTTCATGTCCATTTCTTAACATGGTAAGTACTTCATGATTGTTTTGCATCATGTTTCCCCTTCCAAGTATTCTTTCCATGATAGCCATTGGGCTCTTGACTATTTACCATCATCATTTCCAATTAATAAATAAATTTGACAAAGTTACAGAAGCTACATTCATATCAATGTTGACAGTTGGAACATTACTTCAGGTTATTTCACATATAAAATAATAGAAAAGCAATCTGCCTGTTTTTATATAACAATTACTTCTCAATGTATATTATTTTATTTGAGCAGGGTTTTTATAAAATTCATAACACTAAAGTTCGATGCTAGCTAATAATTATGTAGGTCGCCTGAAACAGAAAAAAATAATATTAATTGCTGTCTTTATATATGTTATATCATTATGTTGTGCACTCAGACCATGCCATGGGGTCCATTATCAGCTGTGGAAATGGATCCTCAAGAATCAAATGATGGACCAATATTGTGGATTCGACCCGGGGAACAGCTTGTTCCCACTGCAGAACTAGGAAAGAGTCCAATTAAGAAGAGAAGGTATTATAAATCATTTTAATTAGTTCATTCAGTAAACTAGTTTATTAAAATAAATAGATTTTTGTAAATTCATGTAGTTATTAGTATTTACTAGAGCTTATAATGAGATCTCTGCCTCTCCTCCTTGGAACGTCTCAGTAGTATTTCATTACACTACCACCAATTTTTCGCATGGAATAACAATGTGTTTANTTCCCCGACATGCTGGAGATGCTGGCTTCATGTCCATTTCTTAACATGGTAAGTACTTCATGATTGTTTTGCATCATGTTTCCCCTTCCAAGTATTCTTTCCATGATAGCCATTGGGCTCTTGACTATTTACCATCATCATTTCCAATTAATAAATAAATTTGACAAAGTTACAGAAGCTACATTCATATCAATGTTGACAGTTGGAACATTACTTCAGGTTATTTCACATATAAAATAATAGAAAAGCAATCTGCCTGTTTTTATATAACAATTACTTCTCAATGTATATTATTTTATTTGAGCAGGGTTTTTATAAAATTCATAACACTAAAGTTCGATGCTAGCTAATAATTATGTAGGTCGCCTGAAACAGAAAAAAATAATATTAATTGCTGTCTTTATATATGTTATATCATTATGTTGTGCACTCAGACCATGCCATGGGGTCCATTATCAGCTGTGGAAATGGATCCTCAAGAATCAAATGATGGACCAATATTGTGGATTCGACCCGGGGAACAGCTTGTTCCCACTGCAGAACTAGGAAAGAGTCCAATTAAGAAGAGAAGGTATTATAAATCATTTTAATTAGTTCATTCAGTAAACTAGTTTATTAAAATAAATAGATTTTTGTAAATTCATGTAGTTATTAGTATTTACTAGAGCTTATAATGAGATCTCTGCCTCTCCTCCTTGGAACGTCTCAGTAGTATTTCATTACACTACCACCAATTTTTCGCATGGAATAACAATGTGTTTAGTATCCAAATAAATAAAATGTTTAAGCTTTTTTTTTTTGTTAAACCAATCTCTGGTAATGACAATATCTGATTGTATTGACTTTTTTTCTGTAGAAATAGCAGCAGGTCATTTGTCTGTTATATAATAAATAAATAAGAGATTAATTTCGAGATGATACCAGCATCTCGTTTTTACCATCGCACCGCCCGCCACCGGAGTAGAGTTCCTGAGATCTTTTTTGCCACGTACCATCCGGCTATGGAATGAGCTCCCCTCCACGGTGTTTCCCGAGCGCTATGACATGTCCTTCTTCGAACGAGGCTTGTGGAGAGTATTAAGCGGTAGGCAGCGGCTTGGCTCTGCCCCTAGCATTGCTGAAGTCCATGGGCGACGGTAACCACTCACCATCAGGTGGGCCATATGCCCGTCTGCCTACAAAGGCAATAAAAAATAAATAAAAAAAAACCTGCAAAGAACTTGATTACATTTCCCTCCTATTTTTGATAATTTACAGGACGGGTATAAACGAACTACGCAACCTGCAATACTTGCCGCGGTACAGCGAGGCTCGCGAGTTTCTGTTCGAAGATCGGACGCGGGCTCACGCCGACCACGTCGGACACGGACTCGATAGGATCACTACAGCCGCTGTTGGTAGGTATCTTATTGTTAAGGGATAAAATTATAGTTTTGATTTTCTAGAACATTACTGACAATCAAAGACGACAGGGGATTTGTTCGTTGCTCATATACTTATTACTCACTAATATTCACAAAGAAGCTGTTATTATTGGCCCACCCACTTTCCACTTATATACCCTGACCTACGATGTGAAACGCAGTCGAATCTTCTCGGCCGTTCGTGGTTTTTCCCCTACCTAATTTATAGCCGATAGGCTCGAGGGACTATTCTAGCTTCTTCACTATACGATCTCTATTAAGTTTTTGTGAACGCTCGTCTTCCGTACAACACAACGTTAGTTGAATATTATCAGTAAAATGAATAATTCGCATTGCTCGATACAGACGCACTGGGCGCCTTATATTATAATTTGATAACATAATTCGGTAAGTACTCAATACCTTATTCCTGATCGATTTTCGTACCTGGAAGAAGACTGCATTTTACTTAGCGTAGGAATAGACACTTTTTTTTTAATGCTTAGTTGGGTGGACGAGCTCACAGCCCACCTGGTATTAAGTGGTTACTGGAGCCCATAGACATCCACAACGTAAATGGGCCACCCACCTTGAGATATAAGTTCTAAGGTCTCAAGTATAGTTACAACGGCTGCCCTACCCTTCAAACCGAAACGCATTACTGCTTCACGGCAGAAATAGGCAGGGTGGTGGTATCCACCCGCGTGGACTCACAAGAGGTCCTACCACCAGTAATTACGCAAATTATAATTTTGCGGGTTTCATTTTTATCACACGATGTTATTTCTTCACCGTGAAAATCAATCGTGAACATTTGTTGAGTACGTATTTCATTAGAAAAATTGGTACCCGCCTGGGGTTCGAACACCGGTGCATCGCTCAATACGAATGTACCGGACGATTTATCCGTTAGGCCACGACGACTTCAAATGACACGTACCAACCCATATTCCTTAAGAAACGTGATTAGAACCTGAAAAGGTACTGAAGACTTTCTGTGTGTTGATAAAGCACCCTGTGTTTGCTAATAGACAACAAAAACAGTACAAGAATGAACCTTATCTTAAAGTCAGTAAGATCTAAACATAATTGTTTTCTGCACAGGTGTGTTGAAAGGAATCCAGTGCGGAGACGACAGCGACCGTGGACGCATAACGAAAGACGTGGTCGCCTTCCACGCGGCCGACTTCAACAAACTCGTTCAGCTCCTTCAGTTGGATCTGTACGAGCCTCCCATATCGCAGTGTGTCACTTGGTATGTACATAATTAAAAAATATTATTGTAGCTTTATTTCCATTATTTAGATTAATAATGATATAAATAAATAAATCGTCATTGTCTAACCAAAATCTGTTATGTGCACTTTTTGAGATTTTTAATTTTTCGACCTTTTCGTATAGTTCACAGCTCTATCTACCGTATAAAAAAACCTGTTATGTGCTTTCGTTTGATATAGTTCTTAAAAATTCACCTTCATATAAAATTTTATACGAAAATGTTTTTACTCATTAATTCAAAATACAGTTTTTGCACACAGCAGATTTTAGTTTGACAGCGACGAAATGATAAATGATTTCGATGATTTCGATAATAATGCAGTGCATACAATAATTTTGAGACCATTTTGCAATTCCTGCGAACTTATTTGTAAAATGATTTCTATATATTATAAAAGCAAGTAAAGATAACATCTTATCTTCAGAACGGATCAAACTGATTTTTCACCATCAGTGTATAATGAAGGTTTATGTAAATTATCCAATACTAAAATAAATCAGTCTATGTCCATATTTTGGACATAGACTGATTTATTGGACTCATGTGAAGATGCAAGAAATCTAATAAACCATGTAAAAAGGGATTGTTAAAACCTAATCAGCAATGTCCTATACAATTTGTTATAAAAAAACTTTGACAATTAATTTACAATGTCTGTTTTATTAACAGGCTAGAAGAAGCAAAGCTCAATCAGTTACGCAGAGAGGGAGTGCGATATTCAAGATTGCCTCTGTGCTCAGACGATATTTACTTTTTACCAAGAAATATTATACATCAATTTCGGACAGTCTCTGCTGTGACTTCAGTCGGTAAGTTTTGGAATAAATATCATAATTTTAAAATTGTACTTAATTGCATTGTATAATGATAAATTAATTTCCAAATTTTATATGGGTGTAATGTTGCATTAGAATCTAACGTTTGTTTAAAATGTATCTGTCATTCTGTTTGTGCATGTCTCTATCTATACTTAATATATAAATCTACAGTGGTTTTTACGGATCTTCCATTATAACTACTGAACCGTGCATCCAATTGACTAGAAACTTGGTATGCATGTAGAAAATACATGAATTTAGTGGATATGCTAATATTTATATGAGTGTTGCACTCCCTACATCAGTAATTGCGGGGGCGTTAATGATGAGAATCTTTGTGGGGCTGAGAATAATGTTAATTTTAAATGCCCAGCGTAGCGAACTGGTACAGCTAGTTATCAATAAGGTTGGTATTCTAAATTGATATTTTTATTTTCAGCATGGCATTTACGTCTAAAGCAATATTATCCTTCATCGGAAGCGTCATCTCCGGCTGAAGAACGTCCTGCCGCCGATCCTGAACCCGTTATCATCAATAACACACCCGGTAACTAATATTGAGAGTTGTTTCATTTTATTGAAATATAGATTAAATGTTAAGATAATAGAGAGTATAAATTATAATAAATGCGAAGAATCACTATTATTAAATAATTAAAAAACAGCTCAATAATAATATATTTTTTATTTTTTTTCTTATTGCTTAGGACGAGCTCACAGCCCACCTGGTGTTAAGTGGTTACTAGAGCCCATAGACATCCACAACGTAAATGCGCCACGCACCTTGAGATATAAGTTCAAAGGACTCAAGTTTAGTTACAACGGCCGCTCCACCCTTCAAACCGAAACGCATTACTGTGTCACGGTAGAAATAGGTAGAGAAATGCCATACCACAGTAAAATATATGAGTAAAGTGTGTTTATTATTCACAGAAAAGTCATCAAAACACAAAGTGGGCGTGATCGAAATGAGAGCTCTAAGCGCGAAGTTCCAGAAATCCGCCATGAAACTGTCAACTGGTGGACGCAAGAGTCTCGATACACAAACGAAAGACAAACACACAGACAAGAAGTCGGACAAAGATAAAACAGACAAACCTGATGTGAAATCCGAGAAAGTGGAGGTCAAAGCGGAAGTAAAGGCTGATCAAAAACTTGATAGGCCAGATATTAAAACTGAGAAATCTTATGCATCAGTCGAAAAATCCGAGACTAAGATAGAGAAAATTGAATTGAAAACTGTAAAGGTCGAACCTAAATCAGATAGACCTGATCACAAACCAGACAAAACTGATGATAAACCAGAAAAATCTAGTAAAACCCCTGAAAGGCTTGATATAAAATCTTCAAAATCTGAAGGGAAAATTGACAAGGACTTAAAAACAGAGAAAACCGAGAAGTTAGACAAGACTGACAGATCAGATAAAACAGAGAGAACAGAATCTAAAGATAAAATTGACAAAGACTCGAAATCTGAAAAAACTGACAGCAAAAGGTCTGAGAAATCTGACAAAACTCATAGGCACAAAGATGATAAGCATAGATCAGAGAGATCTGACAAACATGATCATAGGCGGCACTCATCTTCCCGCCATAAATCGCATAAGTCTCATCGGAGAGAGCGCTCCGATGATAGAAGTAGGCCCAATGAGAAGAATGACAGACACGGAAGGGAAAAAACCACCGAGAAAGAATCTGTGAAAGTTCATACTAGTGCAGTGCATCGACCACCAGACTAGCTATCGTACAAGTGATTTATCGGGACATAAATTGTAAATGTGTTTTCTGTGTTGTGTTGAAGAAATTTGGATTGGACATGAGTACAGGTATGAATTTTTATCTTGGTTGATGGTTGACTGTTTATTACGCGATAGAAATTACCCCTGTCAACAATTCAAAGAAGTATTTGGGTCACCAACTTTGTTATAGATAAGTTTTTGAGGCTATTAAAAATATAAAAATAAATTCAATGATTCTAAAAAAATTGACAAATCAGTATATTTCCATTGAAATTGCTTCACTTCACTTTTGTAATGTACAATTTAATTTTTTATTTCAAAACTAAGATTATTAACTAGAAGAGTAATTGATTATAAAGTAAAAACAGGAGTCTGGATCTATAATATAGTAGGATTGTAACTTATAGTATGTTTGGTGACCCTAAGAACAGTAACTGTATCTAATGTTAATGAATAGAAACTAATAATTTGAAGTGAGCTATGACAATGGCTGATGTGGATATAAATTAATTGTATATGTCAAACATAACACCATACATTACAAATTAGTTTCTGAAATCTCAATACATAATTTGTTTTTATAGAAATATACCCTTAAAATTGGTATTTCTACTTAAAAAACCCTCCTTAAAATAGTCATATAATCATAGATAATAAATATGATTGATTGTAAGCATAATTTAATTTCTAAAGTTATTTTAATGAAAAAACTAGATAAACGTTTTGAAGAATGAATTTCCTTTTAAAAGTTTATAAAATTGTAAGTAATGTTAATGATTTACTTATTTGATAAACAAAAGTAATAAACATGAAAGGCAAGTGTGGATCTCATGTTGTGAATGAAAGATTTACGTTTGTTCATTAGATGTACACATCATTTGTGGATGTTTTAGGCGATTTAATGAATTTGAGGAGATAATAACAAAGATAAATTATTACAGTGTAGCAGTCAAGCTACTGTTGTCTTCCATTTGTGGTCCATTGCACCATCAAATTTTGTTAATTACAGAAAAAGAAAAAGTATTGAAAAAGAACAAGTACCCATTTCTAAATAAATAAAAAGTCATGTATCATTTGCTAAAAGAACCTATGAAAATAATATCAAAAACTTTTTAAAGAATGTAATGTTGACAATAAGGATGTAGAAAGCATTACGGTTTCATTTATTTATATTTGTCAGTTATAATATAAATCTCCTCATTTCTAAAACTTTGTATTACCATCAAGTGCCCTTTCAAATTTCGATCTGAACCTCATGTGTTGTAAGGTTCGAATTTCTTCAATGAAACCTAAAAGCACGATACGTTAAATTTAGTACATGCAGTAAGTAGGTTATGTAAATTATTGTTTAAAAGTCTCTCAGAGGCTATGTTTATAAGTGCGAATGGTGATGCAGTTTTACAAGTTACATTTTTTGTTTACATTTTAAACTGGTTAGAATAGGGTATTTGAATGTATTCAAAAAGTGTTTAAAATAAAATAATTAAAAGACACTATTGAAAGTGATTTTTTATGATATCCTAGTAAGAAATGTTGAATATGCTCTTATTTCACGTTTAATTTCTATAGAAATTTATTAATTTGGCCCTAAAATTTTTTAGGTTTGGTTCAACCGTATGGCAGTATTGAGTAACATTATTGGTTTATGAAATAGTTACATTGATATTTCTTAATCGAAAGGAAATACATTATATATATTGTTGTTTTTTTCTTCTAAACAAATATATTTCCGATTACACAAACAAATACGATTTAAAAAAAAAACTATTATAAATAATATGTTATGAAGAATCTATATTACTAGCACTGCCCAATACTAACTGATTTTGAACATATCCTACAGCTGTTTATTTGACAAAAAAATGCATTTAATATGGACAATATTATTGATATGTCTAAATTTAAATTGGAAATTTGAAAAATCATAAGGTCTTGTAAAACTACATCTTAACTTCATTTTTGAAAGATTTTAAAGAAACAATATGAGATAAGTGAATTTTTAAAGGAAAAATAGATAAAGTTTTCACACAATAAGTACTAAAACTGCACTAAAAATATAATAATTAAAAATAGCTTTTGAATAGGTTTTAATAATATTGTTTTTTTTCTTTCTTTTAAACTTAGTTATCAGTTTGATTTCCACTAATAAATTTATTGATCTCAAAAAGCTTATTGGTTTTTTATTCCAAAAGTTGTGATTTAAGGAATGATGGTCACAATAATCTCTCAAGTTTATGTGTGTGATTGTGGAAAATTCAAATGAAATTCCAAAATTTTGTAAAAGAATTATTTCCATACTAAATCTTGTAAATTGCCCCGAAATAAGCACTGCACCTTGAAAAATAAAATATATGGCTGGATGATGACAAAGTCATAGAATGATACTTATGCTTGTTTTCTGATAGAGAAATCAATTTTAAAGGACAGAAATAGGTACTAATTTTCATCAACACTTATGTATTTCTATTCCTTTTTTTTGTATGAAGTAACTGTTGTTTCTTACCATGAGCATTTGATTGTTGTCAGCATGTATAATTTGTTGCTCATTAAAGATTCAACCGAATTTTTCGTCAGTAAAAGAACATACAAAAAGAAGATTAACGCGAGACTCATTCACTGGATCTTAATTAAAAAAAAAAAAAAAACGAATTTAACGCCTTGTACTGAAGTAGTACCCAAAGACAAAATCTATTGTAGCCACGTTACTGATACTTCAAACTATTTCTCAATAACAACAAATGAAGATTCTTAAATTCATATAAAGGACTTGATGTGTGATCCTAGTTGAGTACAATTTGTGCCCCTAATGCCCATTTTAACACGCATATAAAGTTATATACAGAAATCATATAATTTAATATTATGTAAATAAGTTTAGGGCACCGAAAATTACCGTATGTCTTAGAAAAGAATACAGTATTACTAAATATATAATAATACAAAGATTTTTCATGTTGTAAAATAACTTTATTTATTTTACAGTAATTAAAATTTAATTTCAAAGATTCTCTATCACATGATGCATAATAAGCTGCGGTGTTGAATTATTTTGTTGAATTTTTTTTACAATTGAACGGGAAAAACTTTAAAATGTATTGTTGAAAATTATATCATAAGAAAATGAGAATAAGTTTTCCTCGTAATTGCGATTTTACTGTAAATATGTATCTATTGTAATGTTTTTATTTTTATGTTTTTTAATTTTTACTTTAAACTTTCTTTTTAATATTTTTAAGGACATTAGTGTTAAAAAAGTTTAAAATAATCCCCAGTAAAGCTCCTTTGAATTTATCGCAAGTCCAGTTGCTCCTTGATGTGATTGGTTATGTGAAGTCCACATGTCTTTAAGTGAAAGCCACGTTTAGCAGCTATGAGACAAGGTCAGAAAAACAATTATTTAAAATTCAGTATTTAATTAATCTGGAGAAACTTTGATTCTCTTGAGCAAATTATTTTAATTTAAAGAAGTTTATGCCTCTAAATACTCAGGACGTATCAAGTATATTATAAAAACTAATTACATTCTATTGTACTAACTCTCAACGCGGTATTGCCAAACTTATCGTACAGTAAATCGCCTACTACTTTTTTTCTTTCTCAATCAGTTACGTATAGAGTAATGTGAAATTTAATGAACTAATTTCATTTTTTCATTTCATTTTCTAATTTCATTTTTTCAATTTAATTTCGATATTTTGCCTTAGATTAAAATTTCACTGGTGAAATTAGTTCCATTCATAAATTAACTTAAAAATATAATAAATTATTGTGTAATAAATTTTTTTATTGACTTTTTATATTTTTATGCACATTACTTATACATAACGTCGAAAACGTGATAGTAAAAAAAAATCACAGCTAAAACTTTAAAACACCTAGGGTTGAGTGATTATTATTGATCATAACGTCTCTATATACTACAGTACTTTTATGAAAGACATTTCTTTTTTGAGGCATGTTCCTGTCATGTATGCTTTCTGCACCGATGACGAAGAGATGAATAGGGAATTAAAAAAAAAAACGCGCCACCTTTTATACAAAGACGATCAACATCAAACTATAAAAAAGAATTTTAGTTTGTATTTTTTTATTTAACCTCATTTGAAAAGTTTGCAACGGTGAATCTAAGTTGGCCAGATTAACTAATATAATATATATATATTTTTTTAATTTGACTGACCTTTTCTATATCATCAAATGTCAATAAGATTATAACAGAGTATACAACATTAATTGTATTAGGTCTGAAATGTAGTAAAAACAAAGTTTGTATGAAGAAAACTTTGAAGTGTTTTTGTTAAAAGGAAGTGCCCTCTGGTTTCAGTGATTGATGTGATCGAAAGAGAAAAGAGATATATTTAACCTATTTATATTTAGGTGGTTAATTTATTGTTTCAAATTTCCTATTTTTTTTAATTAGACTATGAATTAAAATTGTGGTTTTATTTTTTAACCCCTCTCTTTATTTACGTGCAAGTGAAGATGTTTGTGATTGTATTGTTCTAGGAAAATATAAAGTATCAACACAATACGTAAAAATACATTTTTTTTTTATTGCTTATGTGCGTGGACGAGCTCACAACCCACCTGGTTTTTAAGTGGTTACTGGAGCCCATAGACATTATCAAAAGCATCTCGGTCACCTCGCCGAACTCGTCTCTTGCAACGAAGGGCTTGGACGAGTAAATTAACCCATAGACACAGCCCACTGAGTACTTATCTCGCCGGATTTTCTCAGTGGGTTGCGTTTCCGATCCGGCGGTAGATTCTGCGAAGCACTGCTCTTGCTAGGGCCAGTGTTAACAACACTTACTGTTTGGGCCCGTGAACTCACCTACTAGTTCGGTGAATCTAGAATAACCCCTCGAGGTAACTATAAAATAGGGAGAAAAAAGAAAAGAGCATCGTGACTGGTAAGAGCATCCATCCATCACTATGTCTAGTTGTGCCTTTTTAACACAAGTAGGGTTTGGTAGGACTTCACTAAACTGCCATCTCAGAGATTGTCGGACGCATTGTCGCGGAGATTGTCAGCCCCGGCTTCGGAGACACTGGTGCTTCCACCGGCGAGTCCCCGGGGGACCGCTGCTACCCTTGTTTCCTTTACTACAAGGGTTGCATCCAATTTTTTTTATTGCCTTTGTAGGCAGACGATCATACGGCCCACCTGATAGTGAGTGGTAACCGTCGCCCATGGACTTCAGCAATGCCAGGGGCAGAGCCAAGGCGCTGCCTACCGAAAACCTACCGTAACTTAACAACCCTACCACCTCACAAGTATCAAATTATGGGTGGAGTTTCAAAATTACACATTATACTTTGTGATCTCAACAATTTTCATTTTAATTTACCGTTGACTTGGTCGTGTCGGAACGAAATGAAAAAAAAACATCTATTTCCTTTTTAACATTTATTTTTCTTAAAAATGACCACATTCGTAATTATTAGATAACGGTACAAAACCTTTAATAAATCTGTTAAGTACAAAACAAAATACAGTGAGAAATATCAATTTTCAGTCAGATTCGTAAAACGTTTATAAACTACTAAATTGTTAATTTGTATATGAATATATTTTACATAAATATCAAAATAATGGCACAGTGCAAGTATCGGCAAGATTACTTAATTATGTCAATCTTTAATTTATGAATAAAATATTTAAAAATAAAACAATTTGTAAATATTCGAAAATTTTATATATGTCAGATAAGATATAGCGAGCGGTATACCTTATTGAATATATTCAAGAAAATATGAATAATGTTTCACTTAAAATTCGAATGAGCGACAATGACGATATTATTATGTATATAGGACTTAGAAACTTTGAATAAATCTAAGGATACTTATTATCAAACAACAAAAATATGTGTATACATAAATTACTATTTAGAACAAAATTGCACTCAGAAGGCACTTTGATTTCTCTTAAAAAATGTTCATCCTTATCAATTCTACTATATAAATAAACATTTAACTAATACCTAATTAGACATATTTTTTAAATCCACTTAAATTATTATTCGATGTTTATGCAAATTAGTAAAAAATGTCATGTTTCTCAGTAATATCTATCAAACAATATTTATCAGAATTTCAATGGTTAACACTTTAACCAATGTTCAAATTATTCATTTATAATCTATAAATGTTTGATTGATAATGTTCTATTAAGAATAACAAGAAAAATTAAATAAAAAAATCGACTATAAACTTGGCAAGACAAACATGTAATTATATATTTAAAAAAAACTAATTTCGTAAGTAAAATATTCCTTTGGTTTCACGGCTTCCTTAATTTCGCCTTTACTGTAAAAGAAAATAAATTATTTATTAAAAAAGAAAGACTTGTGCACTGTATACTTCGGTGTTTCCCAACTTGGGCACCACGCCCCACAAGGGGGCAATCTGGTAATTAAGGGGGGCAATCGCACTAAATTTATATAGCAAATCTGTATTAAAATTATTTTGAATTTGAATTTCAGTTTTTTATTATATGTTTTGAAATATTACTCACTGTGATCAGATAACAATTTCATAGTTATTTCTTCCTAAAACTTATCATTTGTTTCTTAAGTGAAGAAATAATTTTTTTAATGTTTAAAATTATGCATGGCATAAAAATTTTAGAAATGTTACAGTGGGGCATGCCACAAAAAAGGTTGGGAAACAATGGTATACTTGCACACTGACTAGCCAATAGCAGCAGATCTCCACTGTGTACAATATTCATTTAAGATAGCCAGTGTTGCCACAAACCTCTAAACTGACAATTCAAAGCATATGAACGCATATAAAAATCCAAGACACACATGTGTAATATATAATATAGAATAATCCAGAATGAATGAACAATAAAATACTTAATTGCGTTTTCTACAATATTAGAAGAAAACAACATTTAAAGCCCTTAATCTCTTTTTAAATTCATATTTCAAACAGTATTATTATAAATACTATGAAAAACTGAACTACTCTTTTCACTGAATAACTGACGGGTGAGTCTAAGAAAAACCACATTTTAAAACTAATGGGTTTTTTAAATTCTAAATACTATAAAGGTTTTTCTTTACAAGTGTACATGAACTATGCCACTCACCACGAATCGATTGACTTTGTTAGCGAAGGTCTTGGTGACCGGCGTCTGGTGAACTTGCATGTTCTCGAACTTCTGACGTAAACTGTAACAATAACCAGATAAAAAAATCAAAACCGCAAAATTATAATTTGCGTAATTATTGGTGGTCGGACCTCTTGTGAGTCCGCACGGGTAGGTACCACCGCCCCGCCTATTTTTGCCGTGAAGCAGTTATGCGTTTCGGTTTGAAGGGCGGGGCAGCCGTTGTGACTATACTGAGACCTTAGAACTAATATCTATAAGTGGGTGGCGCATTTACGTTGTAGATGTCTATGGGCTCCAGTAACCATTTAACACCAGGTGGGCTGTGAGCTCGTTCAGGCGTCCAAGCAATAAAAAAAATGATTTTTATTACACGATGTTATTCCTTTATCATTCAAGTCAATCATGAACATTTGTTAAGTACGTATTTCATTACAAAAATTGATACCCGCCGGCGGGATTCGAACACCGATACATCGCTACATACGAATGCACCGGACGTCTTATCCTTTAAGCCACGACGACTTACCTCTTATGTGTACTTTCATTTACTATGAATTAATTGACGGTACGTTTTATTTATTTATTGCCACTTCACAGACCACGCGACGGTGAGGTTACCGTACCTCTTAGCGGTCTCTAGCTGAGATTCTCCCTCGTCGTCATTTTGTTCGCGCTCGATGACGACGGCGGACGGTGACCGTCGCGGTTCCGACTCGGACCAGTGCTCGAAGCGATCGCGGAAGCTCTTAGTTCTGGCCAACTGCTGCGCCTGGAATGTTATAGGGGTGTCACCTTGATATATATATCGATGCTTGAAAGGCAAACGTGACTAAGCGACAATAACTGCTTTATACATAAACTAGCGACCCGCCCTCGCTTCGCTTCGGAAACTGTAATTTATTATTTATTTCTCCACTATTTAATGGATGTTATAATACATATAAACCTTCTCCTTCAATCACTCTATCTATTAAAAAAAACGCATCAAAATCCGTTGCGTAGTTTTAAAGATTTAAAGCATACGTAGTAGGGACAGACAGATATAGAGACAGAAAAAAGCAACTTTGTTTTATACTATGTAGTGATGATAGGCAATGCTCAAAAAAAAAAAATTTCTAGGTCTATTAAAATCATTTCAATCCTACAGCTAGATTCGTTAAAATAGATTTTTTTTCAGATATTTCAACTTTAAATTAGTCTACTGTAAGTTCACGCATTGTCGCTTAGTCACGTTTGCCTTTCAAGCGTCGATACGCTGACGAGTGTTATTATGAGCTCAATGCAGATTTGCATAAGACGGCCGGTGTACTTGTATCCAGGTATACGACTGTACCGTTGTCATGAATCGCTCACGTGATGAAAGAAAATCTACGTGTAAGACTCGTGGCTGATACTAGAAGATGTTGGTTATTGTAGGGGGAATGTGGGGGGGGGGTTGGGGCGTCAAACTGTCTATTGGGTAAAACGGCTCAAGACTTTGCTTGACGGCAGTAATGGACATAAGTTTGGTGCCTTTTTTGTAGGCAGAAAAGCATACGGCCCACCTGATGGTGAGTGGTTACCGTCGCCCATGAACTTTAGCAATACAAGGGGCAGAGTCAAGCCGCTGCCTACCGTTAAATATACTCCACAAGCCTCGTTTGAAGAAGGACATGTCATAGCGCTCGGGAAACACCGTGAAGGGGAGCTCCTTTCTTTCCTTCAGTCCTTTTTTTTCCTACCTACTCTAGTGACCTCGAGGGGTCATACTAGATTTGTCGAACTGGTAAGGTCACGGGGTTCTAACTTGACGTCGTTTTTAACACTAACCCTAGCAAGAGCCGTGCTTCGCAGATTCTACCACCGGATCGGAAACGCAACCCACTGAGAAGATCCGGCGAGAAACTCAGCGGGCTGTGTCTGTTAACCTCTCTCATAAGCACCAGTACAGAAGATACTCTAAGATCATTCAATCTCCATTACCAGCCTATATTGAATACTAGCTGACCCGGCAGACTTCGTAGTGCCTCAATCGATAAATAAAATATCTAAACTTTTGTATAAAATAAACTTAAAACAAACAGAAGGAATCCGTCCGACGGGGGACACGTCAAAGGAAAAACAAAATTGTTATTTTTATTTAATTCCGAGCATTTTCATATTTATCTACCTTTTAAACCTTCTCTGGACTTCCACAAATAAGTCAAGACCAAAATTAGCCGAATCGGTCCAGCCGTTCTCGAGTTTTAGCGAGACTAACGAACAGCAATTCATTTTTATATATATCGATTTTTTTGTGGTTTCTGTACCTGTTTGAGAGCCTCGTCTCTGTCTCTGGCGTCCAGGTACTGTCTCCTGCGCTCGTCCTCGCTGTCGTCTTCGTACTCCGAGGAGTACTCGTCTTCCGAGGTGTCGAGGTGACGGCTCCCCTCCCCGGGAGGAGGGGGCGTGAAGCACTTCAGCGGCTTGGGACCTGGGACACGAAAACCGAGGTTTATTTCCCCGAAAACGGATCTATCTACTTGTAAACGTTGCTCATATATTTTCTACGAGGTCTTCTTTGTAACATAAGCTTTACTTTGCAGTAAGTATTGTCATTGTGGGCAGTCGAGGTCACGGCTCACCTGATGTTAAATAGTTAGTGTCGCTCAAGGACATCGGAAATGTTAGAGGCAATGTCAATTATTCTTTACAATATGATTTTTTCTTTATTGCTAAGATGGGTGGACGAGCTCACAGCCCGCCTGGTGTTAATTGGTCACTGGAGCCCATAGACATCTACAACGTCAATGCGGTACCCACCTTGAGATATTTAATGTCTCAGTATAGTTACAACAGCTGCCCCGAAAAACGCATTACTGCTTCACGGCAGAAACAGGCAGGGCGGTGGTACCTACCCGCGCGGACTCACAAGAGGTCCTACCACCAGTACAAAAAAATAGATGGGCGGACCTGTCGGCTGTTGCTGCTGCTGCGAGTGCTCGAGCTGGCGGAACACGGAGATGATGTGGGAGGTGCGGGCGGCGGGGGGCGGCGGCGCGGGCTGGTCGGCGCGCACCACGTCCGGCGCGCGGTACGGCTCCGGCGACGGAGACTTGCGCTGCGGACGATCACACGCCAATACAACGTCCAGCGATTCCCAACTTTTCTAACCCAGTAACACACTAACGCCGGTAAGAGTGACGCCATCTATCGCCGAATAGTCGAACGAATATCGAAAGACCTAGTAGCACATAGAATGCTCGAGAAGTACAACACCATCTATTGTCAGATAGCGAAACCACAAAATATGGAATATAAATGGAAAATATGGAATATTCCCGATAATTCTAGGGATGTGGTATTTTATTTTTTAACATTAAATAATTGATTTGTTCGTTTAAGAAATATAAATGATAGATTTTAGGAAGAAATCACTATGAAATTGTTATCAGAACACAGTAAATTATATTTTAAAGCATATAATAAAAAGCTGAAATACAAATTCAAAATAATTTTAATACAGATTTTTTTAATTAATTTAGTGCGGTTGGGTTGCCTCCCTTAATGATCAAATTGTCCCCTTGTGGGGCGTTGGACTTACGTTGGGAAGCACCGTACTAGTGCCTATCGCGACACGTAGGTTGAGAGTCGCTGACCCGGTCCCCTATTTACTCATTATCCTATATGAGAAGCTCTCGCACCTGGACTTGTCTGGGCGGCGTCATGCGGAACTCCTTGCGCTTGGTCTCCGGTTTGTAGGTCTCGAAGAACTTGAACCGGTCCGATATATCCGCGGTCTCGATCTTCACGTCCTCAAGCTTATCGGCCGCGCGGACCACGTCCTTTGGCACAAAGGGCTGGAATCAGACACGCGCACTTTATTTATTTATTTATTTATCACACTTCATATAAAATTTACATTGGCGGACTTAATGCCTAAGTCATTCTCTAGTAGTGTAGAGTAAATAGTGGTAAGTCAGGTTTGAGCCCCATGAGCTCATCTACTAGTTAAGGCGACGATGATATAGCCTCTCAAGGCTATCAGCATAGGTAGGCAAAAAAAAAGTGGTAAGTGCAATGAAATTTATATTAAGTTACAAATACATACTACTACTACTACTATCCGTCCCTGTTCCCGTTATCTGGGATCGGGTTACAAATACATACACATATACATACATACATATACACATACATACATACTTAGTTAACTTACTTACTTTACTAGTTAACTTACTTTACTACTGGGCTGTACATTTATAGACTTGATATTTTGATATCGACAGGTGAAAGGCTATTTGGCTTAAGCGATATATTTGCAACTTTACAGGAGTGTCAAGTTTAAAATTTGGAAAAAAATTATTATAATAATAAAAAAATTCTTCACCTATTGAATTATTTTTAATTATTTACTGCTTAGTTGTGTGCTTGGAACGTTTGCCTACGTTTGCCGCTAGGGACGCTGTTCCAACTGCATATACAGCATATACAGTGAAGCAGTAATGCGTTTCGGTTTGAAGGGTGGGGCAGCCGTTGTGACTATACTGAGACCTTAGAACAATATCTCAAGGTGTGTGGCACATTTACGTTGTAGATGTCTATGGGCTCCAGTAACCACTTAACATCAGGTGGGCTGTGAGTTCGTCCACACAACTAAGCAATAAAAAATAAAAAATACATTTGAGTTAACTTTTACGCTATCGAGAACGTTAAAAAATTCGCACTATGCGCATCGGACAATAAACCTGGCCCCTAGATAAGAGTAAATCGGGCTAGGTACTTGTAAGTTTTTATATACAACCCGTCGGAAATCTGCGCACCCGGCCGGAATGCGCTTCGCCTCAGTGTCCAATGAAATATTAATAAACTACCTATTTAGTATTTTATTATAAGATGGGTGGGACTGTACACACATAGTTTCGACAATTTCTCCTGCCCTTAACTTTTCTGTGCATTGTTTTTTTTACGTATAATGTAAAAGTTTTTTAAAATTGTAAAAAAAATAATAGATAGATACACCGACATAAATAAAATATTTTTTAATTTAAAGTGAAACTTTTATTAAATTGTCTCAAACTTTTTCGTCGGTGTGTTGCATGTCGCGTGACGGTCGGCCGCGGAGTAGGGATAAAGTGAAAGGCGCTCGTCAGAGCAGCCAAGGCCAATATGGCGGCGCCTATAGTTCGCAGCACCCGACCGTGTAGTGTATTGACTATTACTCATTTTGTGCCAGTGCTCCACGCTATTTTGTTTTTGTCAGTTTTTAATGTAAATGTTGTTTGTCAGAGTTAAATGTCTGTAATGTGAAAAAAAGTTTCACTTTTACCGTGGTTTCATAAAACCACACAATCCCTTTTTTTACATTTAGTATCATTTTTGCTGTCTCTCTAGTTTGCATGACGTCATTAAGAGCCAGGTTCGCAGATATTTCCGAGGGGCTATATATATATTTGAGGGCATCACGTTAGTAAATGAGTCGACTATTATCAAAGCCGGCAATCTGACTTTTGGAAAATTATTGGTAAATCAGAAAAACGAATTATTGACTTTGTATTCCATTGGCAGTCACAAAACTCTTCGGAACGACATCTTAGATAAATAACAGGTTAACTATTAACCTTTATTTAATGCAGGTTTTGAACCGTATTCTTTGAAGGAGACGATTATATTCAAATCAATCTGTATTGACATATCAATAACATTTTTTTGTCCAAATGCACAGATTGCCACCTTTGATAATAGACGACTCAAATATAGTGGATGAAGCGACTAACGATCTCCTTGCGGCGCGGCGGCTGGTGTGGCGGCGGCGACGCGGGGCCCGTGCTCTTGGCGTTCGCGTCCAGCTCCAGGAATATAGAACGAGACTTCTTACCGATACCTGCAATCGTATCGCATATTTATTCACTATTATATTCTACTATTATATACTATATATACTGGTGGTAGGACGGCTATATATACTATTATATACTGGTGGTAGAACGTCTTGTGACTACCCGCACGGGGCGTACCACCACCCTGCCTATTTCTGCCGTGAAGCAGTAATGCGTTTCGGTTTGAAGGGTGGGGCAGCCGTTATAGGTGTCTATGGGCTCCGATAACCACTTAAGGTGGGCCATGAGCTCGTCCACCGGTCTATACATTAAAAAAAGGTTAATATTATTATTTAAATATATTAGTTATATTATGCAGGTTTGATTTTTATTAAACAATGTTATTCCTTCACCGTGGAAATCAATCGTGAACATTTGTTGAGTACGTATTTCATTAGAAAAATTGGTACCCGCCTGCGGGATTCGAACACCGGTGCATCGCTACATACGAATGCACCGGACGTCTTATCCTTTAGGCCACGACGACTTATACAATATGACTAGTACAATATAGCTGTTAGGGTTAAAAGGGTTTACAGATGAGCAGACCTTCATTGAAGAGAGCTTTGTCGTCGATCTCCCTGTTCCTGGGCGGTTGGTTTTCGTCGTTGAAAAGCTCGCCGTTCTCGAAGCGCTGCTTTATGGCCCGAGCTTTCTCTTTATCCAGTTCCAAGTTGCGGGCTATTTTGTCGGCTGACGTAACGCCTGCGAATGTAGAATGTACTGTTATTGTTATGTATATATTTATAGTTTTAATGAGTAACTGACTAATAAATAATAATAATAAACAAATAAATAAATATTAACTAACAATCACGCCACGTTAACTGGTCACGTGATAAGTTCGTAAAGAACTTGTGTTACAGGTACCAGATAACGGAAATAAATGTAAGAATTTTATTATACACATACATATATCTAATATACATCCATAACCCTGAAAAAGACATTTATATTTATCATACAAATATCTTCCGTTGGCGGGATTCGAACCCGCGACCCCCTTGTGTAGTGACCATGTCACTTACCACTACACCAGACGGCCGTTAAAATGTATGAATCTGAGATTAAAATAGATTTGAACATAATGATGTAAATGCGGCTGTAGTAGACGACAATATTAAAATTAATGTTCTTTTTGCATAGCACGCAATGTATACACAATTAGTTATCAAGTGAAATTAAGGTCAACGGCCTCTAGTTGAATTTGTATTAGATTGCTAGTAAGTGATATTTTATATTAATTAAACGTTAAAATAAATTGCCTGTTTAGTGTATTAAGATTTTCGATTTACTCAGGCATGTAGTTACTTCCCGCTCCGGGATTTATTCCTACAATACACCCTCTATATCAGGGGCTCCCAAAATTATTTTGTCTGCTGCCCACTATGAGAATAAATTAATTATTAGCGTCCCCATTTTTTCACCTACTTAAAAATCACTATAGCGAAAGCTCAGTCGGTGTCTAAGAGTCCTCTTAGATGAAATTACAAATCGCCTGCCAAGCCTCTACACAACACCCCCTATTTTTTTCTGGATCTCTTACCGCCCCCCTTTAGGCCTGCAGCGCCCACAAGGGGGCGTTATCGCCCACTTTGGGAAAGGCTGCTCTATATGAAGATGATAAATATCACTGAATATATTACTTGAGAACGTATGTGTTAGTTAGACTAGTGATCTAGCGTCGTCTAGTGTCGTAAACCATGTCAATGACCTTTTTAATGTATTTATTGTTGCCACAATTACCGGAGCCCATCGACCACACAACGTAACTGCCCAGACCTTGCGACATACGGTCGAAGTCTAATTGTACAGTGTGCTTAGTGCGAGTTTTTTAACGTTCTCGATAGCGTAAAAGTTAACCAAAATAGCGGTACATATTCCAACTGCATACAAATTTTAGTTAACTTTAACGCTATCGAGAACATTAAATTTAGTTTACGTTACGTTAATTTTAGTTAACTTTTACGCTATCGAGAACGTTTAATTTAGTTTACGTTACGTTAATTTTAGTTAACTTTTACGCTATCGAGAACGTGTAATTTAGTTTACGTTACGTTAATTTTAGTTAACTTTAACGCTATCGAGAACATTAAATTTAGTTTACGTTACGTTAATTTTAGTTAACTTTTACGCTATCGAGAACGTTATAAAACTCGCATTAGGCACACTGTATAAAAAACAATCCTACTCTTCAAACCGCAGCCCTTGGCTCGGTGGCGGCGCTGGGTGGTGGTGTCGGGCCACGTCGACTCTCAATAGTCCCGCTACAGTAATAGAACATTATAACGTTTCTTACTCACTCTGTTCGCTTTGCATGACCGATTGTTCGTACATCTCCTTGATCTTGGCCTGTTTGCCCTGAAATTAATAGATGCATTGGATTATGTCGTCGTTGAGGCCTACCGGATAAGTACGCCCGGTCTTCGAACCCCGCAGGCGGGTACCAATATATATAAAGAAAAACTACAGGCTCAGAACTATTAACGAACATAATACAAATAGTTATGACATCCGTGATTTATTTTAACAAATAAAATGTTAGGTTTAGATTTAAGGTTGTCTTCTCTTGTTTTTTTTAAGTATGGCAATTTAGCTTCTTAATTTAAGGGATTTTATGACCTGGTAACTGTGACCTTTAAGTCATGTCTTATTTTATTTTATATTCATTTTTTTGTGAAAAATGATATTATGGAGTGAAATGAAATGAAGATGATTAATTTGAGACATTAATCAACTGGAATGAAATTAAATGAAATGAAATGGGATGAAATATAATCTCAGTAAAATGGTGGTCATTTACTAAGATTTTTTCAGTGGACTTTTTGGAGGATCCCGAGAAGCTACGTCCAGCGGCTTTGTTTCATTTTCCCACATTTGTGCACTTTCACAGATATTAAAGAGTTAACAAACCACCGTTATTACACATTTAAACCTGAAGAAACACGAAATAGACAAAATAAAACAAATCACACAACTTCACTCCTCGCGTTCCCGCCAAAAAGTCATTTAGCTTCTTTCGACGCTAATGTTGCCAGTGTCGAGTTTATGTAATGAAGTTGATTAATTTGAAACTGTAATCAATTGGGATGAAAATAAATAAGACGAAATGAGACGCGATAAAATAGAGTGTGAGTAAAATTGTGGTTATTTACAGAGGAGTTATTTGAGATGATTCCATCATCTCGTTTTTACCTATACTACCTTTATCTATACTACCTAGAGTAACTGCGTTCTTCCACAGTGCGTTTCCAGAGATCTTTTTTGCCACGTACCATCCGGCTTTGGAATGAGCTCCCCTCCAGGGTGTTTCCCGAGCGCTATGACATGTCCTACTTCAAAGGAAACTTGTGGAGAGTACTTAGCGGTAAGCAGCGGCTTGGCCGCCGGATGACCACTGGCATTGCTGAAGTCCATGGGTGACGGTAACCATTCACAATCAAGTGGGCCGTATGCTCGTCTACCTACAAGGGTAATAGAAAAAAAAGAGCCATTTTCAGTGGACGTTTTGGGAGAACCAGAGAATCCACGTTCCATATATCTGGAAAGGTGTTTGATGTTATTTAACTTTTTTTTTCCTACCTAAGCTGATAGCCTTGAGAGGCTATATCAGCGTAACCTTAACTAGTAGGTGAGCTCACGGGGCTCAAACCTGACGACGTTGCTAACACGAACCCTAGCAAAAGCAGTGCTTCGCAGAATCTACCACCGGATCGGAAACGTGACCCACTGAGAAGATCCGGCGAGAAACTCAGTGGGCTGTGTCTGTAGGCTAATTTACTCGCCGAGCCTTTTGTCGCAAGCGACGGGTTCGGCGAGAACGATAACCGGTGCTTGAGGTACCTAAAAGCACCGTTAATGGATTCGATTTGACGTAGGGGATCCACGTGTTTCTATATTATTGGAGTATTTTTTCACATCAGTGCCTCTCTGTGCTTTGCTACAATGCCGAAAAATAAGCTTGTATATAAATAATTTCAAAACATTAAATTAAGTTTCTTCGACAACCCTAACATTGTTATTTAACGCAATGACGAGTCACCATGAACAGTCTGCTCCTGATGTTCTGGATCTCCTGTTTCCTCTCGCGGTGTCTCTCGGAGGCGGAGTGCTGGCCGCTCTCGAACCTGCCGACTATCTCGCTCATGTTGCAGAAGGACACCGGCTGCTCGCCCTTAGAGCTGTGCTTGTACGAATTCTTGAGGATCGAGTCTTCGTCTGCGAGCCAATACATAAACACATACACGCATACGTACATTTTGAAGTCGTCATGGCCTAAGGGATAAGACGTCCGGTGCATTCGTGTTGAGCGATGCACCGGTGTTCGAATCTCAGGCAGGTACCAATTTTTCTAATGAAATACGTACTTAACAATTGTTCACGATTGACCTCCACGGTGAAGGAATAACATCGTGCAATAAAAATCAAACCCGCAAAATTATAATTTGCGTAATTACTAGTGGTAGGACCTCTTGTGAGTCCGCGCGGGTAGGTACCACCACCCTGCCTATTTCTGCCGTGAAGCAGTAGTGCGTTTCGGTTTGAAGGGTGGGGCAGCCGTTGTAAATATACTTGAAACCTTGACACTTGAAAAATTATATATTATTAAACTTATATCTCAAGGTGGGTGGCGTATTTACGTTGTAGATGTCTATGGGCTTCAGTAACCACTTAACACCAGGTGGGCTGTGAGCTCGTTCACCCATCTCAATCCTATAGGCTGACCCTTGACTTCTGCGCCAAAGGTCGTGACGTCAATTTTGTGTCTTAATATATATGTATTTAACCAGTTGACTGTCGTGTAGGTCACCGATGCCTTACACGGCGTACTGAAGTAATTATGTTTATTTTTCTTACTAAGACGCCCGAATATCTAGTAGACATACAGTACCAAACAGACAGTACCGAATGGTAATTGGATGTGATTGGATGGCAGACAGTACGAAATGGTAATCGGATGTGGTATACCTTCTTCATCTTCATGTTCGCTGGAGCTGGGTTCTACGGGAACCCCATTGAGGTACTCGTCCGACACACCGATGTCCATGCCCTTCGCCTTGAATCTGTTTCCGAAATGATTTCCTTTAGAAACTCATACATTAATTACATGATATTTATAGTGCCGGTCAAACCTAGCATTCGTACAATATCTAAGCCACATCAAGGGCTAGCAAAAGGAAAGAAGCTAATTTTTTTATAATAATTATTATATTACATTGAGTATTTGTATGTATATATATCTTCCACGGTGAAGGAATAACATCGTGTAATAAAAATCAAACCCGCAAAATTATAATTTGCGTAATGACTGGTGGTAGGACCTCTTGTCAGTCCGAGCGGGTAGGTACCACCGCCCTGCCTATTTCTGCCGTAAAGCAGTAATGCGTTTCGGTTTGAAGGGTGGGGTAGCCGTTGTGACAATACTGAGACCTTAGAACTATATCTCAAGGTGTGTGGCGCATTTACGTTATAGATGTCTATGGGCTCCAGTAACCACTTAACACCAGGTGGGCTGTGAGCTCGTCCACATACATAAGCAATAAAAAAAAAAAAAAAAAAATTATAGATATATGTATATCTTTATGTGTGTATGTATGAATGTATATATATTTCACTGGATTGGTACACCGCGCGTAATTCGTTTCCAAATGATTCTTGTCCACCCGATGGTTGTCTGGAAGAGATCGCTCTTAGCGATAAGACCCCCAACTGTACTTTTTTTGTATGTAATTTATCGCTTTGTTTATTTTATTTTTTGGTGTACAATAAAGAATACTCGCTCTCTCTTATTATTAAAGGTCGTGTCTGGACTGAATACCCGTAGAAATATTGGTGCAAGTCTCAGCCATAATTAAGATTGCTGAGGGATTTTGTTTCCTTTTGACCAGCGCGTGGGCACTCGTTCGTCCGATCCCTTCCAATTGACCTCGCGAAAATATCAGCCAATACCACATCACTCACGAGATATAAACCAAACATATATAAACGCAGCATTAACTCGACGAATGTGATTATTTTTTTATTTTTCACACGATAAATTTTCAACTCTCACTTCGATAGACAATCTAACACTCTTTAACGTTTCACTTTAATAAAATAAACAAATAAAAACATTATTAAACTTTTAAGTAGTTAATAAAATATCCATCACCTTCCTCTACTAACTATTCAGATATTAACACTAGACTTTTTGCGGTTCTAGACTTCTTCGATCGATTCGGCGCAAGCGTTCACACCAATACACATTAACCCAATGAGAAACTAACCAGATTTGAACACAAAGTTATTTTTATATACGATTGATAGATTAACACTTATTTCGGTTAGCGTAAGGTTCAGATTGATTTGAAGATTTCGAAGCGTCTCAGACCAGATGGTACGAAGCGTTTTGGAGCAAAAAAATGAACATAAGAGATTAGATGCATACATGAAATTATTGGTTCTCTACGGATATATATCTGTGTTCAATAGGACAATATAGGCTGTGGCTTTTATGGACTTTACACATTTGTTAAAGCGTGTAAATTTTAATTTATTTATTCATTAGTAATAACAAATAGATCATCAATATAAAATATCGAAAAATCGACTAGAAGAACAAAGAAAAAAAAAATTATTATAATAATTATTTTTTATGTACTTCATTCATAATTACTTAATATTATGTAGTGTTGTTATTACATACTTGTGTTGTCCCATGAATGCTGTGTTTTCCTATAATTGTGGCGGCGCATACGCTACGAACTATTTGTTAACAATATTTGTTATTGTTTTAAAATTATCTCGGTATGGGAATGTTATTCGAAGAGATTATTATCATATCAGGATGGAATGGAGGACCATAGTCCTAACTAAAGTGCTTTGTAAAGATCACGACCCACGGAGGAGGAGGAGGAGGATTATCATATGGCCAAAAAGACTCTGGACACGAAAGTAGACGGTCATGTGAGGAGGGTTTTATTTTATTGCCCTTGTAGGGAGAGGAGCATACGGCCCACCTGATGGTGAGTGGTTACCGTCACCCATGGAATTCAGCAATGCCAGGGGCAGAGCAAAGCCGCCGTCATAGCGCTCGGGAAACACCGTGGAGGGGAGCTCATTCCAAAGCCGGATGGTACGTGGCAAAAAATACCTCTGGAAACGCACTATGAATGAACGCAGAGGCTCCAGGTAATATGGATGAACTCTACTCCGGTGGCGGGCGGTGCGATGGTAAAAACGAGATGAAGGTGTCATCTCAAACAATTGGATGGAGTGATTTGTGAAAGAGGAAATATCAGAGAGTGCAAAGATGACGCATGATAGGCCTGAATTGTAAAATAGGTCACGCTGCGTCGACCCCACATAATTGGATAAGGACAAGAAGAAGACTTAAATATTTCATATATATTAATTACCCTTTGTATGAGAACAAAAATAAATAATAATCGATTAAAATTATCGTTAAAATTTTAATTTCCTACGCGCTTTGACTATCATAAGCCTTGCCTAGTCACGAAATTAAGATATTCAACATTTCCGTAAGCTCATAAATATAAAGCCTCAAATTTGTTTTCGAGATAAATATTTCAAGTTTATTTTTTGCTAAAATAAATAGATATGCTCTTTAGCTGGTATTGATTCGTGAATGTTGGAGCCAGAAAGTCGAGAAGTGATCGTTTGAGACATGAAGTTGAACTCACGACGCGTCATATACTGGGCTAATTTTTATCTTTTTTTCCCCCTACCTATTCGCTGGTAGCCTTAGGGGCTATTCCGGCTGCGACCGGGTGGATGAGCTCGCGGGCTGAACCTGAGAGAATTTGCTAACACTAGCCCTAGCAAGAGCTAGTGCTTCGTAGAATCTACCATCGAATCGGAATCACGACCTACAGAGAAGATCTGGCGAGAAATTCTGGGCATTTTTACTCTTCTAATTACGGATACATTAATGATTCAAATTAAGCAATTTCCAGCTGATGTAGAACACGATAAATAGTTTTGAAACATGGATTCGGTAATAATACGATCAACATGAACAGCAATGTAATTCAAAATAGCCGCGAGCGAATTCGATCTCACGGTGAGTGCCGGTTCTCAAAGGATCAAAAATAGAACGTATCAAATCAACGTGCTATATGACGCAAGTGCAAATTATAGACGGCGTGACTCATTTTGATCGTTACCTATAAATATTTATTTTTGTATGTAGGTATGTATTTTGCTTTTTCGGATACATAAATATTACTGTGCGTTTAATCCGATAAACTTCAGATTTACGCTAGTATTTTCGATTCTGATATTATTTTTCCTTCATTTCATTACTAATAATTACTATTTTTTAGAATCGAGTGGTGAAAGGCTGTTTGGTTTAAACGACATTTGGCTTAGTACGCGACATTTGTCTTTGTAATTAAAGATCCGGTTTATTTAGTATTAGTATCAACGATTCGATGTTTTTAATTGAACTTCAATTACGTTCAACCCATTCAAACAGCTGAAGAAGTATTCTGTTATGACATTTTTTCTATAATTTAAACTTTAAATGGCTCCCCTGTAAATCTGCAATAATTTTCGGTCATCGTTCTCGGCGAACCCGTCGCTTGCGACGAAGGGCTCGACGAGTAAATTAACCCTCAGACACAGCCCACTGAGTTTCTCGCCGGATCTTCTCAGTGGGTCGCGTTTCCGATCCGGTGGTAGATTCTGCGAAGCACTACTCTTGCTAGGGTTCGTGTTAGCAACGTCGTCAGGTTTAAGCCCCGTGAGCTCACCTACTAATTAAGGTTACGCTGATATACGCAGTTGACCTTTTTAAATACGCTTTTTTTTAGTTTGACCTGTATCTATGTATGATGGAATCTTCGTACGTAATTTTCTTCAACTTGAAGTCGTTCGATTAATCGTACGCGTATCAAGGACAGATGATAACGTAATAATTCATTATTTTGGGCTAACATATAATACTGGTGGTAGATGGTCGTTTGTGAGTCACCTCTATAGCTAGCTACAATCGCACAGTCTACTTCTGCCGTGAAGTAATCATACGTTATAGTTTTAAGGGTGGGACAGCCGCTTTCCTTTAGAAATCATATCTTAAGACGGGTGGTAATCCCGATACGATCTGTTAGCTCAGAAAACCGCTTAACACCAGATCTGCAGTTGCAGTGTGTAACGATTCAAATATGTAAACAGCCTTATTTAAAGTGCTTCTTCAGCACTACTGTCTTACTATCTTGTAACTAAATACACCTTTTTACACAATAAACTGGACCTTCAAACTGAATGGACGTATTATTTCAACTCTTCTAATCCATCGTGACCAGACCACACCCCACAGTTATCTCGTCTACTCGTTTATGAAAGAAATAGTATAAAGAACCGTGATCGGAAACCCCAATGCAAAAATAAAGTATCATTTATTTATTTGAAGTTGCTATTTTGAAGCCTTCTTTTTATTTACGAAGATTTATTTACTTATTTGTATATGTACAGCCGACCTTACGACTTTGGATTCAATCAGCGGTTATCCATAGAGGCATATGTCGACAACCATTTTGAAATATTAACTTGAAGTTTAAACAAAGTGCTATAATGACTGTACCACTCTTCAAACCGGAATTTATGATAATACTAATAAAAGTAATTGTATTTAACAACTATCAAGATTAGTTAGGCGCGCAACAGTTCAAGACTCAACTGACACGTAAACTTCAAAACCTCAATTTAGACCTTAAAACTAAACACATAAAGTCTTAATCTAAATAATGAGTCGTGCACGTTTTATGACGAGATCCAGATATGAGAATTGTATTATAGTTCTTTTTTTTAAAGTCAGAATATTTAAGTCTATGATATTGAAGTTTTTTTATTTAAGCCCAACTGTTTCACGTTAAAAGGATGTTTGGCCTATTTACGTGCGTTTGAGAAAAGTCTTCTTGTGTATTTTTACTTTTTAATATAGGGCAGGGCTGAGACTTCTTAGAACAGGGCAAATAAAGTTCAAAATGATTTTGGCAACGGAAATTATTATAAGTTTTATGTGAGGACTCATAAATCATCATAGGAAAGCGTGCCTAAAGATTCTAAGTAATCCATGTATCGAATCAATTTGACAGCGAATGCGGGTACAAGAAGTCTTTTTTTTATTGCTTATATGGGTGGACGAGCTCACAGCTCATTTGGTGTTAAGTGGTTACTGGAGCCCATAGACATCTATAACGTAAATGCACCACCCACCTTGAGATATAAGTTCTAAGATCTCAGTATAGTTACAACGGCTGCCCCACCCTTCAAATCGAAACGCATTACTGCTTCACGGCAGAAATAGGCAGGGTGGTGGTACTGTTACATATGCCCCTCAATAATAACGCAATATAAATAATAATGCAAAGGCATTCTTAAATGCATCGTNCCCATAGACATCTATAACGTAAATGCACCACCCACCTTGAGATATAAGTTCTAAGATCTCAGTATAGTTACAACGGCTGCCCCACCCTTCAAATCGAAACGCATTACTGCTTCACGGCAGAAATAGGCAGGGTGGTGGTACTGTTACATATGCCCCTCAATAATAACGCAATATAAATAATAATGCAAAGGCATTCTTAAATGCATCGTCTCTATATATAAAGACGATTTATTACTAAAGCGTGGCAGGACAGATTTGGCTTGAGTAGCGAAAACACATCGTTTCTACTATTTCTTTTATAAAATAAAGTCAGTGCCAGTCACAGTTTCCTTTTTTTTTGTAAAGAGCTCCTGGATCCACCCCGTAATAGTACCTACCCGTGCAGTACACAAGAGGTCCTACCGCCAGTAGACTAGTATGAGAGGAAATAAATTTAAATAAAACAATCTAAATTTATCGGAGTTGAATGCACTTTTTGTACGATACCAATAATTGTTTGCAATGCAATTTCTTTACATTTTCGCCCACTTGACAATTTGATACATACAGAACAGTTATTAAAGTTCATTATTCAAGTACATAATATATAATTATGACAGATTTATATTGGAAGAAAATAAATCATGGACAAAAATCACATGTTGTAACTTATCGCGTACCGCCCAGAAAGTAGGAAAATATTATTTTTTAAGGGACCAATGATGAATTAAATGTACTAAATTTTGATTTGAATAGTAATCGCGTACCCCTAGATTTTTTGTATTACACGCAATGGAATGCAAATTAAAAGATCAAGTACTGAAGTATTTACTGGTGGTAGGACGTCTTGTGAGTCCGCACGGGTAGGTACCACCACCCTGCCTATTTTTGCCGTGAATCAGTAATGCGTTTCGGTTTGAAGGGCGAGACAGCCATTGTACTGTTAAAAGTGAGACCTTACAACTCATGTCCCAAGGTGGGTGGCGGCATTTACGTTGTAGATGTCTATGGGTTCCGGTAACAACTTACACCAGGTGGACCGTGAGCTCGTCCACACACCTAAGCAATAAAAAAAAAGTAGGATTCATAGCTTCCATGGAATCCACGAACGCATACCTGTACGAATACATAAACTTTGTGAGTTCATAAAACGAATCACTACATAGTATAAAACAGGGTTCTCTGTCCCTATATACCTATGTATGCTTAAATCTTTAAAACTACGCAACGGATTTAGATGCGGTTTTTTTAATAGATAGTTATTGAAGAGGAAGGTTTATATGTATAATAAGATCCATTAAATCAAATCAAGAATAAATCAAAAATAAATTACAGTTTCCGAAGCAAAGCGAGGGCGGGTCGCTAGTTAATTATAAATTGAAATTCAACGCAAATAATTGTACATCAATGTTCATTTGAAATTGAACTTTAAATTAACTAAACATAAGAACTCGTTATATATGTAATACATTGTTAAAATTCTCACAGTATATGACTGTACCGTGTGAAAAATAAATTCGTATGAAAGCGATTTTTGTAAAAAACATCATCCTGTATGCTTGTGATCTTAAGACTCTAACACTATAATTAAGTTTTAGAGATTCGGTGAGTCCATTGAGCTTGTGTTTTTTGAAGTGAAGCTTCTTTAGGCGCGTTGAGAGTAAAATTTAACTCGCGAAATATTCGTTACGGCTAGAGAGAAAAGATACAATTTAGGATGAGTGAGAGTGAGAAAATAGACAGATCGTCTCGCAAAACACTCGATCGTGGAGAGACGGAAAGGACAAAGCGAGCTAAGTCGTTTCTCTTATACACAGCATTCCCTATTACAAGAGAAATATGATTTAAGGATAAAAAATGAAGAAACTCACAATACTACTACATTCCGCATAAGTTTCACTTCTTTCACGTGCAGAAAGTTGCACGTGTACCATTTTTTTTTTTATATTTCTGCCGTTTCGAATTAAACGAATAATTCTCCATTATAGGTCCAAGCTGGTTATATTAATTGACAAGCTACTCATATCATTACATATATCACTTTACTTTTATGTTTTGGGAATAGACATCGATGGTGCAATTCAATTTTACTACTAACGCCATCTATTGGCGGCGGTCAAAGCACATTCACTACGAATACTCCGTGTTATTATCCGTTGACATTTAAATATTCTAACCATATTAATTTCTTTGCAGATAACGATTCTTTTTTTGCACACTGTACCAATGGTATCTTGACGTTTTTTTAGTTTTGCATTTTTATCATCGCAATAAGATTTAGGCGAGGTTAAGCCGAACTTGATACGCCCTGAGAGAAGTCGAAAACCGAAGCAAATGGAAGCTGATGGTACAAAGAGCCACAAAGGGCTTTCAGGGACACGACCTTCAGCAATGAAGTATTCGACTAAGAAGAAGAAGCCGAACTTAAATATGGTTGGAATTATCTTAAGTTTTGTTTAGTGTGATTAATTTACTGTGCACTCACTTGGCTAGCTTGGAGAGCAGGGCGGTGCTCTTCTCGCGCGGGGCCCGGTGCTCGAGGGGCGGAGGCTCGTCGCTGCCCTTGGCGGCGCGCTCGAACACTTCGAACCTGGACTTCACGTCCAGGGAAGCCAGCTCCTCCAGCCCTAGGTCCGGTTTGTCGGACGCTGTCGCACAAAATTCACTTATCTATATATCTAAAATGAATTGCTGTTCATTAGTCTCGCTAAAACTCGAGAACGGCTGGACCGATGTGGCTAATTTTGGTCTTGAATTATTTGTGGAAGTCCAGAGAAGGTTTAAAAGGTATAAAAATATGAAAATTCTCGGAATTAAGTAAAAATAACAATTTTGTTTTCCCTTTGACGTGTCCCCCGTCGGACGGATTCCTTTTTTTTTGTTTTTAAGTTTATTTTATACAAGGTCTTTTATTTATCGATTGATGCACTACGAAGTCTGCCGCTACTTTTATATCAAAATCATAACATTACATTATTGTCACCCTATTTTCGGCACCAAATATATGTGCTTTCAGATTTTCAATGTATATTACATTTTATATGTATAATAAATTTGGAACTTTGTTATCGTGTGTCTCTGAGTAAAGGAGTTTCAAGATATTTATGGTTTCCGGTAATCGCTTAACCAGATATTGGCTCGAAGTTGTCAAATGCAGAAGCCTACAAAATTCTAGCAATGATTAGGCAAAGCAATATGTAATGTTTTCGATAGATACATGTTATATATTAATATAATTAATATATAGTGTAGGCTTTTTACAGTAATCTGTGTCGCATAGTTTGACAGTTGAAGCGCTTGTCAAAAGTAATCTGTGAGAGACGGTACCTCTAACGACATCTGGCGGCAGTTCGACCGGGTTGCTCTCGCAAATTATCATTTGGTGTTTCTTCGGTGCTGCTGTGGAAGGAGGACAAGTGGTTACTTACTGTGAGATATCTACTATGTCAACGATTTTTTTCCCAGATTTTAAAATTAATTATTATCATTATTATTCTAAGACTGTATGGTGACCTAGCATCTGGATTAGCCCCCCTACCTCTTCCCGTGCCGTAAGTAACTGAGAGATTCCCCAGAGAATAGACTGCTGAGTTCTCAGAGTATTCCACCAGAATACTGTTTTTTTTTTCCATACCTATTCGCTGGCAGCCTAAGGTAGGTGAACTCACGGGCTCAACCTGAAAGTTTGTTAATACTGACCCTAGCAAGAGCAGTGCTTTGCTAAATCTACCACCGGATCGGAAACGCGACCCACTGAGAAGATCCGGCGAGAAACTCAATAGGCTGTGTTTATAGGTTAGGATTCTGTGTTTAGCGTGTTTGCGACATGAGAGTCTGTGTCTGCACAGGTACGTACTACCATACTGCCTATTTAAGCCGCGAAGTAATCAATATTCGGTTTGATTGGTTTGGCAGCTACTATAGAACGGCGGCTAAGAGCTCACATCCTAAGGGTGGCGGCAATTACGTTGCTGACGCATTTGGGGTTCAGGTAACCGCTTAACCTAGTGTTATCAGGTGAAGAAACGCAAAATTACCATCAATCTCGTCGTCATCTTCGACAGGTTTGGGTTCGAACAGATGCTTGAAGTGAGGCTTGCAGTATAAGGTCGTGTGGTCGCTCTGGTAAGTCTCCACTCTGCAAAAAGACTTCATTGAATCCGTGAAAATAAATGAAATTTTGAAGAGTGTTTTTGTAAACCTTTACCATATACTGTTTCGATTAGATAAGACGTCCGGTGCATTTGTGTTGAGCGATGCGCCGGTGTTCGAATCCCGCAGGCGGGTACCAATTTTTCTAATGAAATACGTACTCAACAAATGTTCACGATTGACTTCCACGGTGAAGGAATAACATCGTGTAATAAAAATGAAACCCGAAAGATTATAATTTGCGTAATTACTGGTGGTAGGACCTCTTGTGAATCCGCACGGGTAGTTACCACCGCCCTGCCTATTTCTGCCGTGAAGCAGTAATGCGTTTCGGTTTGAAGGGTGGGGCAGCCGTTGTAATTATACTGAGACCTTAGAACTCATATCTCAAGCGCGGCATTTATGTTGGAGATGTCTATGGGCCCCGGTAACCACTTAACATCAGGCGGGGCCGTGAGCTCATCCACCCATCTAAGCAATAAAAAAAGGCACAGCGTGACAGGTTTAACTAGTTTGAACTTTAAAGACAACACAATACGTACGTGAGTTGTTTGTTGCACTGAACGCATCGGAAGCAGTCCTTGTGCCAGACTCTCCGCTCAGCCTTGATCCTCTCCATGGCGTAGACGGGACGGGCGCACTTCTCGCACTTCGGGTTCGATTCCGCGTCCGAGGCGGCCTTGATTTTCTTGTAAATCTTTTCAGAGCTTTNCCCATCTAAGCAATAAAAAAAGGCACAGCGTGACAGGTTTAACTAGTTTGAACTTTAAAGACAACACAATACGTACGTGAGTTGTTTGTTGCACTGAACGCATCGGAAGCAGTCCTTGTGCCAGACTCTCCGCTCAGCCTTGATCCTCTCCATGGCGTAGACGGGACGGGCGCACTTCTCGCACTTCGGGTTCGATTCCGCGTCCGAGGCGGCCTTGATTTTCTTGTAAATCTTTTCAGAGCTTTTAGACTAGAAACAATTGACAGTTAATTGATTATTGATTGGGATCGCCTTTTTAAAGATGTAAATCTTTTCAGAGCTTGTAGACTGAAAACAATTGAGAGTGACTTAATTGTTGATTGGGATCGCCTTTTTTAAGATGTAAATCTTTTCAGAGCTGTCAAATTGAAAAAATAAAAGATTATTGATGGGGATCGCCTTTTTGAAAAAATAGTATCCAAGCTTAATAATATAATTATCGGGATTCTTATGTACCTAAATTAGGAAGGAATTGGGCCAGCATCGATAACCAATATCGTCCTACCTGTATTATTATACTATGTCGCAGCGACAGTAACCCCTCCAAAGGAAAAGGACAATACCTACAAAAATAGAGAAAATATCTTGAAGCTTACCACAGAAATTGATCCTTCATCTTTATGCCGTCTAGTGGATTTAGACTTCTTCTTTATCTGGCGCTGCTCGGTGACCACCTCCTGATAGCTGTGCTGGACCCTCGACTCGGTTTGGATGAGGTTCTGGGACTCCATCGTCGCTTTGGCCGTCGCTAGCGCCATTGTTTTTTTCTCTGAGAACAAACAAGTTAATCAATTGAATATGCAAATTCGAAAAGGGCACATCTCTGAAAATGTAAAATGTTCAGGAAATGAAAAAAAATGATTATTTTCTAAAGCAGTGTAAAATTTAAAATATTAACTTTTTAGATATATTTTAGTGTTAATTAGCAATTGAAAATTACTAAAACTATTATAAAATAGGTGTAGGTAAGCCTCAAAACTACATGTATATGAAAAAACGTATTTGGCAAAATATGCGACATGTGCCCTTTTCGAAATTGCATATTCAATTATATTTTGATTCTTGTACACACTACATCGACCGGTCGCAACTAAGGCTACTCCGCAAGCACCGACTAAGTGATGCGCGTATTTTATTATAATTCATAAATACATGGAGAGGTTATTATATAGCTACTAACAAACCAATCCCGCTGGACGAAAACCTTCGATAGCTAGATAGCTAGCTAGAAGCCGATTAACAGGCGAGAGGTCGATAAAGTGTTAACAGAAATCGGTTGGAAAAGCTTCCTCTGAGCTTTAATGAGAGTCCTAACAACTGTTCGATCTTTAAAACTGGTATGTATTACTTCTTGGCAATAAGCACGACTGTAGTACCAAAGTCGTGTATTTTTTTTCCTACCTATTCTGATAGCTTTGAGAGGCTATTTCAGTTTCGCCCTAACATGTAGGTGAGCTCACGGGGCTCAAACCGGAGTGATGCTAACACTGGCCCTAGCAAGAGCCCGCGGTGCTTTTCGTACCTAAAAGCACCGTTAATGGATCGGGCTCGTGTGAGTATGTATCGCATTGCCGACTGCGCAAAACTTGATAGGCTGTTCACGGAACGCTCGCTTTAGAGATACACGGAGCTGAGTCTGTTTTAACCCGCTTTCTATGGGTAAGTCAGATTCATTAACAATTACCTTTGCGTAACGTGTAGCACTATTATTAATAAGCAGCGTTTTTAGCGCCGCTATTGTATATTAGCCGAGATGTTTACGACCTCGAAATTCTCTTAAACCGTTATCAGGCCGAATTCAGACCGAACTCGAGACAGCATGAAAAATTACCGTGCACATATTCGAATACGGTTTAATTTAGCGAAAGTGATGCAAAACGGCTTGTAAAATTCGTTTTGCGCTCCGTTTTCTAATTGACGATGCTGTGACCGATCTGTGATCACGCAAGCGGAAATCGTCTTTTTGTTGTTAAAAAGCAATCCGTCATCTGAACGCGTCAACTGAGGCCGTCAGCACCAAAGTGACCTAGCCCACAAATTTTCATATTCGTGCTTAGATAATGCAATTTATGCCCGGTCATCTTTCTCGGCGAACCCGTCGCTTGCGACGAAGGGCTCGACGATTAAATTAACCCACAGACACTGCCCATTGACTTTCTCGCCGGATCTTCTCAGTGGATCGCGTTTCCGATCCGGTGGTAGATTCTGCGAAGCACGGCTTTTGCTAGGGTTCGTGTTAGCAACGTCGTCAGGTTCGAGCCCCGTGAGCTCACCTACTAGTTAAGGTTACGCTGAAATAGCCTCTCAAGGCTTAGGTAGGGAAAAAAACCAATTTATTTAAAACATAATCAATTTTGAGGCAAAACCCTAGTTTGACCCATAGATAATAGATGGCTTTGTGAAATCTTATTTTGGCGCGTATTGTTTTTGCGAACGCATTTGCATTAGTCTTAGGACTGCAAACGATTAAAAAGTATATAAGGTCCGAATTGAAAAACTACGAAGATAGTAAATAAATTTAAGCAGTCACTCTCAATATTGGTAACTTAATGTTTCCGCATCTGAAGTTCGATGCAACAAGCTATTCGCTCATGGCATGCGGCATAAGTGAGTCGTCTATTATCAAAGGTGGCAATCTGTGCATTTGGACAAAAAAATGTTATTGATATGTCAATACAGATTGATTTGAATATAATCGTCTCCTTCAAAGAAAACGGTTCAAAACCTGCATTAAATAAAGGTTAATACTTAACCTGTTATTTACCTAAGATGTCGTTCAGAAGAGTTTTGTGACTGCCAATGGAATACAAAGTCAATAATTCGTTTTTCTGATTTACCAATAATTGTCCAAAAGTCACATTGCCGGCTTTGATAATAGTCGACTCAAGTACGAGATAGAATACGAAGTCAGCTACGGTACAGTATGTTTTTAAAACTGACTAACAAACAACACGGCTTTCAAAACACGTCTAAAGAAAAACCTTTAGCATTATTTAAAACTCTTTAGTTTTAAGACGGAATTACTCACTTGTCTGTCATTGGGTGAAGAGAGTAAGTAGTTTAGTTTTGCATTGTTTAATAATACTTTTTAAAATATTAATTTAAAAAAAAGTTGAAGGGCTTTAAATGTTTCTTACAATATTAAAGACAGCGCAATTAAGTATTTTATTATTCATTCATTCTGGAGTATTCCATATCGTTATACGTATTTATGTTTTTTGTTTGTATTGATGTATTCACGATATGTACGTACACGCTTAATGAGAAATAGGGTAGGCAGCGGCTTGTTTACGACCCTGGCATTGCCGATGTTCAAGGAAAAGGATTAACCATGACAGACAACTCTAAAACTAGACTTGATTACAGCTGCGACTCGTGAAACAAAATCAACAATAGTTTTATGAAAGTACCAAAGATTTGGTCGTTTGAGTTCGCATGTTTTTTCTTTCTTTTAGCTAACATACATTATTTACTTGGAGCACACATAATTTCTAATCATCTCACAGACGAAACGCGATGCGGTTAAATCCATTCAAGGCTTTTTCAACAATTTTCTATTTACTTTTATGACACTTTCGATACACGAGAACTGCAAGCTTTGAAAAGCATCAATTAAAAACAACTTCCTGTTCTTTTTTTCTTTTAATGTGCTTTCGAGCTCGCAGCTTAATTTGTATTAAGTGCTTTGTGCTTAAAGTTGATTTTGTTGTTTTTGCTGAGACGGATAGACGATCTCTCGGCCCACCTGGCGTTACCGGTGGTCTCCTATGGTCATTTATTTATTTATTTATTTATTTAGACACACCAACAGCAATACACACAAAACATTCAAGCTTAAAATTAACATGTATAAAATTAAGTACTGGTATGTAAGCCAGCTACAGGCATGTACAGCAATCTCTTATAACAAACTATGACATGTTACAGCAATCAACCCCGTAAATGCCGCCACCCATCTTGAGACGATTTATAAGATTGGAAACACATCGAAACGCATTACTGCTTCACGGCAGAAATAGGCACGGTGGTGGTATTTACCCGTAGGGGCTCACATGACGCCCTAACACCAGTATAATGTTATAATGTGATTCTTCAAAAATTTTTTCTGAATAAAAAATGAAAGACATCACAAGTGTTGACAGTTTACCTGTTGGCTATTTACATCCTACGCAAGTCTTTAATTAGTGTAAAAGCCGTTGAAATTATTATTATCATTTTTTTTATGACAGAATGGTGGACGAGCTCACAGCCCACCTGGTGTTAAGTGGTTACTGGAGCCCATGGACATCTACAACGTAAATGCGCCACCCACCTTGAGATATAAGTTCTAAGATCTCAGTATAGTTACAACGGCTTCAAACCGAAACGCATTACTGCTTCACGGCAGAAATAGGCAGGGCGGTGGTACCTACCCGCGCGGACTCACAAGAGGTCCTACCACCAGTAAATCGAAAAAAATGTAATAAAGCTGACCGAAAACAATTCAAACTGAATTGAATGGAACAGAAAATAATTATTTACTGCATCAATTAAATTAATTACACAAACTAGACTGAGCTTTGAATCCCAAAGTAATTTTCTCAACGTAATTTGATTTCCAATGTTTTTAATTTATTTACATAATTTACGTATCCAGAAGGAAGTTAGCGTAGAATCTCTTTTTTTTTTAATTAAACAATATGCCAATTAATTGCTCTTTAAATGCTCTATTAGAATCCGTAATTGCTCCACGTTTATCACTATTACTTAATTTTTAAATTAACATTTGAAAAAATTAATTTTCTAAAATTTAATTTTGCTATAAAACCTAAAATATCCACCTTTTGTAAAAAAAATCTGAAAGAATTGCTCCCAATTTGCTCTATTAATTAAAAAAAAACATCATAATTTGGCAATATTTATAATAATTATTACAAAAAAATTATTTGCATGTAAATTGTTGCACTATGACGTCATCAGTGGTCGTTGAATCCACTAAAAGCTATGTTTACATGAATCCTCATTACGACAATTTCATGTGTGCCTCAATGTTTATAATTTAATGTTAAGGATATAAAAAATTATTCTACGCTAACTTCCTTCCGGTATTTACGTAGTGGAATAATTTAATCATCTCACCGAATACAATAGGAACAGCAACAACCATTTTGTATATTCCGGAAAGAACACAACAAATCAATAAAACACGAACTATCAACTTATGTTATTGCACTTAAAACCAAATCACTAGATATTCTTATTTTCTTAAAGAGATTTCGTGCGGTGCACGCGCTGTCTCAATACAGAATGACTCTTCCCCACCAAATCACTAACTTATAAACACAAAAATGACTCTCAGATTATTTTGCCTTATTGCTTATTTTTGATTCACACTTCCTACCGTGCTGCATATGCGGGACACTGAATTATGCACGAAGAATATTTACACCTATTTCTAATTTAGTTTTAGCATCTCGCTGTCATAAGATGACTCGTAATTGTCGTGTTCACAGGACGCGGTGATTCAGTTGACAAGTACTTTATAATAAAATGCAAAAGACGAAGACGTTGTAGGCTATGGGTAGACGACATCAAAGAGTTGGCAGGAGATACTTGAACTAGTTCTGCCACGAACAAAAGTTTTATGATTATTCCTACAATTCGTGGTAGGTCGAATTTTTTTTCCGCACAGATAGGCAATATCATTTTACAAATTTAACCATTCGTACCAAGTTGAAGGGTAGCCATACATAATATTGATATTGCCATGCCATGTCAATGAAAGACAGA